ACTGGGATCGAGCCTGCACCCAGGCATGTGCCCTGTTGGGGAATCGAACCATGACTCCTGGTCATAGGTGACGCTCAACCACTGAGCCACGCCGGCTGGGCCTTTTTATGTTTTAAAAATTAATTTGTAGAAGTTCCTTGGATATTCTGGACACAAGCTCTTTGTCAGAATTATGTGCTGACATTATCTACTCAATCGTGGGTAATTTCTCTTTTATACCTTTCAGTGTTTTCCAATGTTTTTTCAATTTACATATATTACTTTTATATTTTAAAGTATCTTTGAAAACAAAGTTTTAGTGGCAGACGGACAGTGAGAGCGGTCTGCAGAGTTCAAGTATCAGTGGGTGTGAGGGAAGGAGACAGCCGGTGCCGGCAGGCAGCTAGTCACTGGGAATCAGTCACTGACCTGGACATTCCAAACTCTTGTTTCTTTGGGAACTTAAGAAGCCGTAATCAATCAGGTTCTACTTTCTGTCCCAGATTGTGGAGATGATCCCAAGGATAACCTATTATGTTCCCTCCCTTCCCAAAGAGGCTTCCCTCTTTCCCAGAGATGTAAAGACTTTCAGTTCTATTGTTCGCTTGCTCATAAAAAAGGCATAGCTCAGAGCAGCGGTCGCTAAATGGTGGTCCATGGACCACTGGTGGTCCGTGAGGTCGAAAGGTTGGCGACCACTGGCCTAGAGCTCAAGATGTGAGTAGGAGCACTGTATTTACCTGTAAGTAACTATATTTATTTGAGATCAGCAGAAACATCTCAATAATCTCTAATCAATGTCCCCTTTTCAGTGGTTTCTTTCAGAATTGGTTTATCTTTGTTGTTGTTAATTCTCACACGAGGATATTTTTCTGTTGATTCTTAGAGAGAGTGGAAGGGAGGGGGAGAGACACAGAGAGAGAAACATGGATGTGAGAGAGACACATTGATTGCTTGCCTCCGCACGTGATCCGACTGGATGGGGGATCCAGCCTGCAACCCAGGCATGTGCCCTTAACCAGAATCGAACTCAGGAGCCTTCAGTCAGTGGGCCAACACTCTATCCACTGAGCCAAACCAGCTAGGGCCAGAATGGGTTTAACTTTGTTATAGGAAAGCTTTGTCCATTATGAGCCCTTCACCAATTATCCTATCAGATAATAAAAATGTTTTCAGATATTTGAATTCTTGGTTCTTTGTGGTCCTTTAGGACTTAACCTAAAACTCTGTCCTGGTAGAATTCTTAATTTTTTCAAAGCCCCAAATAATGTGAACGAAATAATATTATTGTTGAGGTCAATGTACATTTTTAAACAGTTTAACAGGGGTAATAAATTAAAAAGCCTGCAGATTTTGTCTTTCCTACTTAGCGTCTCCTGGAACCCCACTGAACAATTTCTTTCCTAACCTCGCCCCTGACCTGGCCAGGATCGACGTTTCCAGCCACCACATGAAGAGGAAACCTTTTGATACTAAATGGGTCACAATGTGAGGTCTCCTCACAGCAGAGGGCCGCTTGCGCCATCTGCTGGGGACAGTGATAGACCCATTCCTTCATGAAGCAATTGGCCTGAGTCCTTAATTCACTACCTCATCAGCTTCAGTATTTCTGAGTGACAATTACATACCTTGAGACACTCTGTCTTTAATTTTTATTTATTTATTTATTTTAAAATATATTTTATTGATTTTTTACAGAGAGGAAGGGAGAGGGATAGAGAATTAGAAACATCGATGAGAGAGAAACGTTGATCAGTTGCCTCCTGCACACCCTGTACTGGGGATGTGCCCGCAGCCAAGGTACATGCCCTTGACCAGAATCGAACCTGGGACCCTTCAGTCTGCAGGCCGATGCTCTATCCACTGAGCCAAACCGGTTAGGGCGACACTCTGTCTTTGGGATTATGTTTCAGATAAAAGCAAAATATAATTTATCCTGGAGATAAAAATAAGTTTAACTCAAAATATGCAGTTATCCCAGCCATTGCCTGTTCTGATCCCCAAAGGATGCCCTAAGGAGGGGCTAAGATAGTAGGTATAGCTGGAAAAACAGCTAATTTCTTCAGAGCAATCGTAGAGGTGTATTCAAGTGTTTCCACCAAACCAACTTCTTTCCTTCCTCCCACTTTTTCCTTCCTTCCTCTCTTCCCCTCTTTCTCTCTCCCTCCCTCCCTCTCTCTCCCTCCTCCTCCTCCTCCTTCTTCTCTCTCTTTCCCTCCCTCCCTCCCTCTCTCCTTTCTCTTTTTCCCCCTCCCCTTAATTAAAAAAAATGATTTGAGCCTCTGCTATGCATCCAGAGCAAACACCATGAGTTAAATAGTTCTATGTATAGTCTCCTATTGGCAAACTTCCCAGGCTTCAAAATCATGGCAAGACTATGATATGCACTGAGGAAACACAACTGGCAATTAACTCGGTGATCTAGGGTGTTGGTGCTGGGCTCAGGAAACCCTGTTATTAGCCAAGCTGTTGGCCCTCCGCTCCCTAAAGAGACAGACAGGGCCAATCAAGGACCTGGCTTGGAGGTTCACAACGAGGCCCTGATGACTTGTTAACAATACCAACTATTTATCTAACCACTATTTAGCCTGCAGAAATACTGAGCCCCTGAACTCTATACTCTCAGCTGGATTCCTGCTGCCTCCTCACCCCAGCCCTTTGCCCCACATCTGCACTCCTCTCTGTCCCCACCCCTCCCCTGAGAGCACCCTTCCTGTGTGGGGGTCTGGATGGCTGGCCTTCTCAGCCTGGCCTTCTCCGTTCCCACTCGTGGGCCCTAGCCAGACCCTGCCCATGGGTGGACTCCATTTGCTCTGTGCTCCCTCTGACTCTGAAAGAGCTGGGAAAGTTCCTCAGCTTGTAAGAACCCAAGTGATTAAATTGGGCCCACTGGGATAATCCAGAATAATCTCACCTCAAGGTCCTGGACCTTCAGCACATGCACAAAGTCCCTTCTGCCATTTAAGGTGACTTATTCACAGGTCCAGAGATTAGGATGGGACAACATTTTGGCTTGCTGTCCCTCCAGGGAGCACGCTCACGCCTCTTCCTTCCCCCTCCTCACTTCCCCCCTCCCTGCCCAGGTGAGGTACCTTTGCCTTTCTCACTCCTAAGCTCCAAAGGTCCTTCTTTTGCCTCTGTAACTTGTTTCCTGAGCCTACACCCCCCAGCTGGTTCACTTCTACTACATCTATAACTTTAAGTAAACTTTCCCTTACCATTTGATTTCTGAGCTCTGAATTCTTTCTTTGCTGAACTCAAGAATTGAGGTCCAATTTTGCTGCCAACACCGCCGGTAACAATAGAACGTGTTGGAGACAGAACTATTTTGTTATACAGAGGTGCTGCTCATTCCTCTTAATGTCATAGTCTCTATGTAGTTCTCTACCGATGAACATGTTGGTCCGATTCTTTTAAACAAACAACACTGAACAAATACTCTTCTTAGGGTAAGTAACCGTAAGTGACATTTCTGAGTCATAGACTGTTCCCTTTTTTGGTTTCAATAGATAGAGACAGATCTCCCTTCAAAGTGGTGGTACCAATTTTCACTCACCCCCACAGCCTCAACAAGTTTTTTGGATTCCCCAACCCCACCCACTGCCCTTGTCCAGAGACCACTCACTCTGCCTTGTTGCAACGTCTTTTAACTGGGCTCCAATCCTCACCTGTGCATATCCACTCTGCAGTCAAAAGAGCTAATCCGGCCACTGGCTAATTAATATTTCTCAGGGGCATCCCATTGCTTTATGAATAAAATCCATGTCCTTAGAATAAACTTGAAGGCGTCTCTTGCTTTGGCCTCACCTCATTTCCAGTCCCTTCCCACATGCCCACGTGTACCATTGTCTCCAGGCATATTGCAAGCTTCCAGTTTGGTCTGGAATGTTCTTTCTGCTCCACATTCTTTCCCTATATCTGGGAAATTCCTTTCTCTCAAGGCTTAACAAACAAACAAGCCCACATATATTAACAACATTTTGCTAATATTGTGTTTTTTTTTCCTATTTTTTCCCTGGAGTATTAAAACAAATTTTAGAAATCATAATTTGCCTGTAAAGACTTTAGTATGTTTCTCTAATATTTAAAAAACAAAAAAATCCATGACCACAAGAGCATTATTATAGCAAAATTGCCATTCTTTAGTTCATCTAGTATCCATTCCATGTCCAAGTGTCCCAGGCTTTTAAAAAATGTTTTTCTTTCTTTAAAAAAACAAACACACACACACACACAAACAAAAAACTAGTTTATCTTAATTATAACCCAAACAAGGCCCACAATCTGCATTTGGCTAATGTGTCTGTCTCTCAAGCCTGCTTTATCACAGATCTCCTCCCACCCTCCTTCCTTTGCTTCTGATGCTATTTATTGAATAAAGAAATTGGGTCATTTGGTCTGTAGAATTTCCCACATTCTGGATCGGCTGATTGCTTCCTGGTGGGCTACCATAATATGTTCATTTGGTCACTACATTTCCTTAAGCTTGTAGTTAATTATAGGCTTAACTGGGCTTACCTTCCTTTTTCCTTTTCTTTTTTAGTTCGTGGGGATACATTAGAAGTGAGGCTGCATACTTCCTATTGCATATCAATGTGCACATCGAGTCTGGTTGTCCAAGTTTTGGTGATGTTAACATTGTTCATCTGGACATATTTGAAAATATTATGATATTCTTAATTAATAAAGAAATTACCTTTTACTGTTTACTCACCATATATCAGGCGTTTTGCTGGTTGCTTTCTGTATGATTTTCTCACATTGCATCTCAGTACATTAACTATACTCATAGATGTGCGAAAACATGCCAGCCCTGGTTGGTTGGAAGACTCTGAATTACTGCTCTGATCTGCAATTTACTCCTTGTAACACAATGATTCCTGCTGACTTACGGTAAGGCTTATTTTGAGGATTATTTGAGATAATGAATGTGAAAGAACTTTGAAAAGTAGATGGGGCTATGCTATACTGTTACACATTAGTAACATGAGTTAAAGGAAAACAGAAAGAAAACCCAGAATAGTCCCTGTGACCGTCTCATTTGTTCATCACACTTTTCTTGAAGGCACTTTGCCAGGCCCTGAAGTCGGACCTCCAGGAGCGCGGTGTAGCGGGCGGAAGGCAGAGGGAGCTCGCAGCCAGAGGGACAACGCCACAATGAGGCCGGAGCCACTCGCTTCCCGCGATCCGCTCCAGTGGGAGCCAGCGATCCCAGGGACAACGCCACAATGAGGCCAGAGCCACTCGCCTTCCCGGAGGGCTGCTCCCGGGGACCCGCACACAGTCCGCCAGGTGCGCCTTAGCCCGCGGTGGTTCTCAGCGCGCGGAGCCGGCCTGCCGGGGCTCTGCAGGGAGCGCGGCTCGGCCAGACGCGGAGGGCGGAGCGCACTGCCCGCGGGAGCCGCCTCTCTGGTCCGAGCCGAGGTCGTACATTAAAGAAAGGATCACTCCAGCCTCCGCGGCTGCCTGGCTAGATCGGGGGGCCGAGCGCGTGGCAGCCCCGCGCCCGCCGTTTCCCGGCCTGGCCGGAGGCAATCTTGCGTCCTAGCGGCCTTTCCGTGCCCAAGTGACCTCTCCTCCGTGCGCTCCCTGCGCTTTTCTGGGGGGGTTGCTCTTGTCCCGGGCCTGCACCCGTTTGCAGCGACTTCCCGGGGGTTCGGAGGAGCGGCAGGACTCAGGACTCCGCCTGGAAGACACAAGGATGGCAGCGGGGACCAGTCGTTGAGGAAGGAGCAGCCGTGTGTATGTTTTGGTTTTTTTTGGATCTATCGTTGGAGTTGCCAAAGGAGCCCGGACTGTGCTTCCCTTCCCGGGGTCGCAGGCCAGCCCGCTCTGTCTGCAAAGCTAGCGGGGTCCGGAGCCCCAGTTCCAGAACGTGGGTGCCGGGCGGGCGGGCCGGCCGGGCGGGTTTTTCCGCCTTTTGAGGTCGCAGGGGCGGGGTTCCAGGGCGCCCGTGACACGCCCGGCCACGTTGCGGAACAGGAAGCGTCGGGGATGCTCGGCGGGTTTCGGAGGACAGGGGAAATGTTGGGGTCCGGCTCACCTCGGGTGCTGGGCTTTCCGGTCTGCATTGTGTCGTGCTGAGCGCCGGTGCAAGTGGGATTTTACAGGTATCCTCGTAACCGTGTGATATAGTATTTATGCTTCTAGGCTAATTGCTATTTCTTGTTTCTGCAAACTGGAACCTCCCTGCCCTTTTAAGGTTGCAAGTTAATCTATTAGAAAAAAACACACCCACAGTATTAGTTATTTGCTGGGAAATCACTATTACTTAAGTAAGGCCCGTGTTATTAAATCGTAGGGGTTTCTCACTTCTTAGTTTATGATATAGATAGAAAAAACATTTGTTTTAAAATACCATTTAAGATAGAAATTTTAACCACAAATAGCCCTTGACGACATTGTGGTAATAATATACTTAAGATAACCAGCAAACACGAAAAAATTACAGGTCAGTGCATAGTAAACATTTAAAAAATATGTTTTTATTGAATTTTAGAGAGAGGGAGAGGGAGAGGAACTCGGATGGCTGCCTCCTGCCCGCCCGCTATCGGGGATTGAGCCCTTATCCCAGGCATGTGCCCAGACTGCAACCAGCAACTGCTTTGTGCACTGGAGGAAGCTCAACCAACTGAGCCACACCGGCCAGAATGTAAACATTTTTTTAATGCTTTGGAGTGGGTAGGGAAGGAATTTAAATATTCAACAATTTTGAAGTTAAAAATCAGTCAATAGATAAAATATTTTGCTCTCTAGTATGGATTGCAGCTACTATTCTTATGTGTTGGGCAGTACAGAACAATGCTGCACACGTGTCTTACAATTACAGGGTGGGGGGAAATTAGGTTTACAGTCCTGAGAATGGAAAACAGTTTATTCTTATATTATTATTTATAGGATTATTTTTCATATGAACAACTGTAAACCTACTTTTGCCCCATCCTGTAAAAAAAGTACATATAGTATTCTCTCAATATATAATTTAAAAGACCCATTCTTGAACAATAGCATAATATCAGTCATTTTTCTTTAGCTACGTGCTTCTCAGCTTTTTTTTTAAACTTTCATTGTTGGTTAGGCTCATTGTCTGTGTGCCACCGAGCAGCAGTCATGTACCTTCTAAGAAGTGGTGCATTTTCTACTTAAAAAAAATAAAAATCCTCGGCCTGCGGACTGAAAGGTCCCAGGTTCGATTCCGGTCAAGGGCATGTACCTTGGTTTCGGGCACATCCCCAGTAGGAGGTGTGCAAGAGGCAGCTGATTGATGTTTCTCTCTCATCATCTATGTTTCTAACTCTATCCCTCTCCCTTCCTCTCTGTAAAAAATCAATAAAATATATTTTTAAAAAAATCCTCACCTGAGGACATGTTTGGAGAGAGGAAGGGAGAGAGAAACATCCATGTGAGCTACACCGGCTGGGCTACATTCTATGGGTTTTAACAATGTATAATGACTATTATAACAATGTATATCCACTGTTATACTATCGTTCTAAAAATACTTTGTGTTCTACCTGTTCATCCCTCCTCTCTTCCCTCCCAATCCCCTACCCCTGCCCCCAATCCCTGGCAATCATTGATCTTTTTACTGTCTTCATAGTCTTGCTTTTTCCAGAATGTCATATAGGAGGAATCATACAGTATGCAGGCTTTTCTCATTAGCTTCTTTCCCTTAGTAATGTGTATTTAAGGGCCTTCCATGCTTCTTTCATGGCTTGATAGCTCTTTTTTTTTTTTTTAGCACTGAATAATAGTTTATTGTCTGGATGTAACAGTTTGTTTATCCATTCACCTGCTAAAGGACATCTTGGTTGCTTCCAAGTTTTGGCAATTATGAATAAACCTGCTGTACATATCTGTGTGCAGGTTTTTGTGTGGATAGAAGCTTTAAACTCATTTGGGTAAATATCAAGCAGCACAATTGCTGGGTCATAGGGTAAGTGTTTGTTTAGTTTTATAAGAAACTGCCGAATTGTGTTCCAAAGTGGCTGTACCATTTTTGCATTCCCACTAACAATGAATGAGAGTTGATGTTGCCAGTCTTTTGGATTTGGGCCATTCTAATAGGTATGTAGTGACATCTTATTTTAATTTACATTTCCCCGATGACATATCACGTGGAACATCTTTTCATGTACTTATTTGGAAAGGTGGCTGTTAAGGTCTTTGGCCCATTTTTAGTTTATTTTTAATTTTTATTTTTTACCCAGCTACATTGAGGGACAATTGACAAATAAAATTGTATATATTTAAAATATACAATGTGATGATTTGAGATTGTGAAATGATTACCACAATCAAGTTAATTAACACATCCATCATCTCACATAGTTAGCTTTTTGGATGTAGTGACAACGTTTAAGATTTATCCTCTTACTTTTGCCCAGACTTCTGGCACTGCTCGCAGAGCTGGAGTGTTCTGTAGCCTCCAGGTCACCGTCGATTTGAAAATGCTTGTCTTGAGCATTAGCTGAGCAACCTTCAGTAGAATGCCACCTCTATAGCCTATCCCAGGCCATCCTTTTATTAACCTTTCTCGTCAGAGGTGTCAAAAATAGATGCTTTCTTTATAGGATGCAAAGTCCATCTATGACTCAGATGAATCCATAAACATTTAAAGTTTCCCTTAGAGAACCACTGCACATACATGTCTTATTACAGAAGGCCACCCAGAGTTTCAAGGCTGATATGCAGATGAAAAGCCCATATTGTGAAAGTATGTATAATCTGAATGCAGTATTCAGAGATGGTGGCTCTGTCAGACCCTGTCCCCTGAGCCCAGAGCGAGGGAAAGGCATTGCTTGGGTCTCTGAAGCACACTGTGTGTGAATGGTCACTTTTTTGTGTGGAAAAGAGTGTAGAAAAATGATGAATTCACACCAACACATTACGAAGGGCTTATGACTTATTGGTTTAAGGTCCTGGAGGGGTGACTCCTTTTAGGAGTCAAATTACACTTCAATAATATCTGTGGACTTTCCGTTATGTCTGCTATCTAAAGCATCCATCTGACTGATTTTTGTTTAATGATTTCCAAAGTAGTGGTAAAGTTTCATCAGCTGAGTGGGCAGCAATTCTAATAGCGTTATTCCGGCCTACCTGGTTATCAGTAATCAGACATATTATCATTGTAAGAGTAGAGGACCATTTGTTCAGTTGGGAATGTAGATCGAATTCTGTGACTCCTTAGTTCATTAAAAAAAATTTCTTTTTATTGACTTCAGAGAGGAAGGGAGAAGGAGAGAGAGATAGAAACATCAATGATGAGAGAAAATCATTGATCGACAGCCTCCTGCAACCCGGGCGTGTGCCCTTGACCGGAATCAAACCTGGGACCCTTCAGTCTGCAGGCCGACGCTCTAACCACTTAGCCAAACCAGCCAGGGCTCATTAGTTCTTAATGCAGAACCATAACCCAATCCTTTCCCTTTTCCCTGTAGGTTCATGGCTAAGACCTGGACATCGTCTGCACCTTCCCCGGGATTCGATAGTTTCCTCATGGTGACTCCTTGTTGGGTCTGACTCGTGGTTGCTGGCAGCTCCTGGGCCAGAGACATGGCTGCTTTCCGATTTGGGTTTGGAAGGCTGAATTTTCATCTGTTGAAGAAAAGGAGTTTCTTGCTGTTGAAACTCATAGCTTTTGTATGTTCCGTGCTTCTGTTTTGTGAATTTTTAATCTATTACTTAGTGATCCTTCGGTGTAATTGGCCCGAGGTGAAAACTCCAGCCCATGGCGGGGAACAAGAGACTCTCGAACCTGTCCTGAAAGCCATGTTTTTGGCTGATACCCACTTGCTTGGGGAAGTAAGAGGCCACTGGCTAGACAAATTACGGAGGTAGGAGCTAACATCAGGAATCTTTCTGAAATTCTGTAGGCAAAAAGGTATAGTGCTCTCCCCACTGGCCAGGCTGAATAGCTTCAGGATTATTCATTATTTTCCTCTCAAAGGAAAACATGGGGCAGTTGACTTCTCCTTGAACTTACTATTTACTGAGCATCTGTTATATACAAGGACCCAGAGTTTGGAAGGGAGGTCTGGGTCTGAGTCTCATGACTTTGGACAAGTTACTAGGGCCTCTGAGCCTGTCTCTGCCTCCTCGTTTGTATCTGGGTTCACCTGAGAAACGCCTCAGGCTGTGTGAAGAGAACGCCCACAGCAACGCCCAGCACATGGCTGTGGTCAGCGAAGGTACGTTTCCTTTTCCCCTGGGCGGGGCGGACCCTCACAGGCACTGGAGTGCGTTTGAGCTCGCTTGGTTTTGGTCCACTCTGGCAGCAGGAGGAGCAGAGCGGCTGTGGCTGCCTCCTGGGGGAGGATCAGCTCCTGTCTCCACCTTAGACCTGCCCAGCTCCGTCTGTCTGTTTTCCCACAGGAGGCTTTTAAGAAATTTTTTTTTTAAATATATATTTTATTGATTTTTTACAGAGAGGAAGGGAGAGGGATAGAGAGTTAGAAACATCGATGAGAGAGAAACATCGATCAGCTGCCTCCTGCACACTCCCTACTGGGGATGTGCCCGCAACCAAGGTACATGCCCTTGACCGGAATTGAACCTGGGACCCCTCAGTCCGCAGGCCGACGCTCTATCCACTGAGCCAAACCAGTTAGGGCGCTTTTAAGAAATTTTAATGGTGGTGAAATACACATGACATAAAAGTTATCATCTTAAACATCTTTTGTTAAAATCCTCACCTGACAATTTGTTTTTATTCAGCTTTAGAGACAGAGGAAGGGGGTTTGGGGGGGAGAGACAGAGAGAGAGAGAGAGAGAGAGAGAGAGAGAGAGACATTCATGTAGAGAGAGAATCATTGATTGATTGCCTCCTGTACTTGTCCTGACTGGGGATCAAACCTGTAACCTAGGTATGTGCCCTGACCAGGAATCGAACCCGCAACCTCTTGGTGTATGGGATGACGTTCCAACCAACCGACGACAAAACTAGGAACCGGAGAGAGTAGGCAACATTCTCAGAGCTTCACAGCTGGCCGGTGGGTGGAGCTGGGATGCTAAGCCGTTGCTCCTCAGGTTCCAGCTCCAGGCTCTTTACTTTCACTTGCTCACCTAAAGGTGATACTGGCGAGTGTGCTTCTCTCATTGTCTCCCCCACGCAGAAGGCAAGAAGTTGAGGTTCCTTCTCGAAGTGGAAGTTAAGGCAGATGCTGTCATCTGCTCGGTGTCGTGCAGAATCAGTCTACACTGAGGAGCGTTGGCAGCGGCACTGAGCTCTCATCCCCGGGGCTCTCATGACTGAGTGTTGGCTTCGGGGTGCAGTGTGGGCCTGATCTGTGGGTACCATCGGAGGAGTCAGCCTTCGATAGGTGTGGGAGGGGCAGCCTGACTCCCCTTTGGTGCCTTTGCTCCCCACATTTAATCGGGATTCTTTCTTTGGTCCTTCTGGGCAGTGGGTGCGAATGCGAGGATGGTGCCAGAGAAGAAGGAGAATGGGACCATTTAGTTCCCCTTTTAAATGGCCCATAAGACAGCCTGATGCCTTTTCCCACTGGCCTCTAGGGAATGGCAGATGGAGAGAGCCTTCCAGACGGCTCTGTGGTTGTTGCAGCCGGAAGTCGTCTTCATTTTGGGAGATATCTTCGATGAAGGGAAGTGGAGCTCCCCCCAGGTAGGACCCTTCAGTCCTGGCACCCTAATCCTGCTTTCACGTCCTGTACAGGCAGCCCAGCAAATGCATGGAGCAATGTCAGTGAGGGTTGGAAGTTTGCTTAATACTAATATTAAAAATGTATACTCTGTCTTGAAGTTTATTAGGGTTTGAGTCTAATATCTCGAGTTAGGTTGACTAATCTTATAGTAGGAAATATGCCCATTAGCCAGACATTGTTGGAATGCACATTCCCATGAATCTCTTTTTTTAAAAAAATATATTTTATTGATTTTTTTTTTACAAAGAGAAAGGGAGAGGGGGATAGAGAGTTAGAAACATGGATAAGAGAGAAACATCAATTTAGCTGCCTCCTGCACACCCCCCACTGGGGATGTGCCTGCAACCAAGGTATATGCCCTTGACTGGAATCGAACCTGGGACCCTTCAGTCCGCAGGCCGATGCTCTATCCATTGAGCCAAACCAGTTAGGGCCCCATGAACCTCTTTCAAAAGGGGGAAATTAGCAAATGGATGCTATTTCAGTTGTCACCAAATGACAGAATACACAGTGAAATGTAATTTGGCTTCACACTCTTATTTAACCACTAACTTGTAAGAACTGTGCTACATAAGTTACTTGCTACCATCCTCTTATTTCCTTTCTTCTGAGGGAGAGGTGCCGAAGGAGCCCTGAGGGCTTAGTGAGCGGCTCCTCTGCCTTCAGGGGTCCTGAGGCCTCGTGGGGTGTTGAGGTGATGGTAAGAGAGGCTGTTCTCCCCTTAGCTGTCACTGCCTTGCTTTTTACATTTCTGGAATTAATAATTATTAAAACGAGCTCTCCTTGCTACTTAGTTAAAAAAGTTTAGTCACTAGTGGTTTTTGGAAGATATTAAAATCCATTGGTATTTCACAGGACAACCCAAAAGCTGTACAAAGAAAGTCTTGGTCCAGGTGTGATAGAAACCCAGTGTTTATAGGTTGCAATGTTTGCTATCATCTAGTTCAAAATTAAATATGAGCTAATGGAAATGCTATCTGTAAAAAGCAACTAGTTATAAAATGAGATTGGATATCATGTTGCTTTTCCAAATTAAGGGCAACATTTTATGTTTTTCTAATTTTATGTTATTCTGATTTTATATTATTCTAACTCTAAATATTATTTGTTGGAGTGGAGTCTTTGTAAATGCACTGAAGGATTCTATACAGCATATTTCCCTAGGTTGGGCCATACTTAAAACGTTTAGGATAAAGTTGATTTCTAGTCAACTAGGTATTGTCGACCCTAGAGATAACCACTTGATATTTTTAAGGTTAATAAAAATGAGAACTATATGAACATAATTCTCAAGATTTAATAGTTAGATTTTGTTTCTCCCCCATGTCATCAGGCCTCACTTCCTCAGCTGTGGCCACAGTGAAATGCTAAATGCTTGTCCTTGTCTTGGTGGAGATGCATGAATTTACTTAACATTTCCCAAGAGTTTGTTCTTAGAACATGTCCAGATCTGATGTGATTCCCAAGCTGGGGTCCATGTGTCACCTTCAGGGGATATTAACAAAATAGCTGAATAAACCAAATATTTGGGGGAGAGGGTTGCCAGTTAATTTTTTAAGATGAGTATAGCATTTAATTAAATTTTGGCATCAAATTAAATAATTAAAATATTAAGTTAGTTTTGGAAAAAGAAGTTTGACATAAAATTAGACATTCTAAGTTCTACATTAGCTTTATGGACATCGGATTTGGACAGGGGCACTAACTTCTCACCATCAAAATGGGGAGCCACAGAGAAGAGAAGGTTCTCTGGGCCTCACAGTGATTTTATCCCACAGGCCTGGGCGGATGATGTGAAGAGGTTTCAGAAAATGTTCAGACACCCAGGTCACGTGCAGCTGAAGGTAGTTGTTGGCAACCATGACATTGGCTTCCACTACCAGTAAGTAGCTCACGACAGCATGGCCACAGGAGCACTCTTGCTGACTGTAATTTCAAACCTGCTACAGTTTAGGTGAAAGCCTTATTTGGACTGTGTGGAGGGAATCTGTGTAAAGTGTAAGCTCTGGAGTGTAAGCTCCAGGAGGGCCAGGGTTTTTGCCTTGGTGCATCGTACACCCTCAACAGATCTCTTAAATGAATGATTTGTGTGTGCCTTTGGGTGATTCTCACTTGAAACTTGCCTTTAATGGCCAATTATTTTCTTTGGGACTCAGAAAACAAGATGATAAAAACTTGAATAGCTAATATTTATATAGTGTTTATTATGTGCCTGCCTGTGTTAAGCACTTTATTTCCACACATTTACTCATTTAATCTTTACCCTGGTCCTATTATTTTACCCATTGAACCAGTGAGGAAGCGGAAGCCCTTGGGACTAAGTCACTTGCCATAGGCCTGATGGTTATTCAGAAGTGCGGTAGTGGAGCTGAGAGTCCCTGGATAACCTGGGGCCAACTGGAGCTCTGAACTAACAATGCTTGTCTGGGGCTCAATTCCTGAAAGGTTTTTTGTGTGTGTGTGTGTTCATGATAACTCTTAAGAGGTTTTAAAATGCCTTGTTCTGCCCCTGCCGGGTGGCTCAGTTAGTTGGGGCCTTGTTCCCTACACCAAAAGGTTGCAGGTTCAATTCCCAGTCAGGGCATGTACCTAGGTTGCCGGTTTGATCCCTGGTCAGGGCGCATATGGGAGGCGACTGATATTTTTCTCTCACGTGGTTGTTTCTCTTTCTCTCTAAAAATCAATGAACATATCCTAAAAAGCTTAAAATGGCTTGTTCTGAAAAATGTTTCTTTTTACAATTGAATGCAGGATGAACAGATACAGGATAAAACGATTTGAGAAAGTTTTCAATCCTGAAAGGCTGTTTTCATGGAAAGGAATTAAGTGAGTATTTGTGAATTCTTATGTCCTTTAGTCCTTGGGAACTTCATTTTTCAAAGGTGACTGCCATGCTGGGTCAGACCCATGGTCTGTTGGGCCTGGTTTGCAGTCTCTGCTGAAGGTGCCTCATATCCTCCACCCCATCGGAGTCACCACCCTGACAATCCAGTGCATTGGTTAGTCTGTGACTTTGTCTGGCCACTGAGGGAATTTTATTCTTTCTGTCAGCACCATCTGTGGATGATAGAAATTTCACCAGTCCACTTTGTAAAGAAGTATTTTTTATTTGTTCAGAACTTACTTATTTCCTTTGTAAAGGATGTTCCTGTAGTTACGGTGTCCTCGGATTGGACGGCCAGTGTGCTGGCTGTGCTCCGTAGCTCTGTGCCTATCCCCCACTCCCCTCAGCCTTGAGTTTTAGATCACAGCTTCCTAACCCTTTGTCTGACCATCAGCACCAGCTCCCCCTCCACAGGGCAATCCCTTGACCCTTTCTGGTCTCTGTGTTTGAGCACAGTGGACCCGATGGTACATGCACATATTCTAGCTGCGGACTAGTGGGAAGAGAAAAGGCGGGAGAGGAAGTTTTCCTTGTTTTGACCACATCCTTCCTGTGGCATCCAGGACTCCGTTGGCTTTGGCCAGAGCAGCTCAGGGGCCCATCAAATGATCTGATCTGTGTGCAGCCCCCAGGGACCAGGGGTCAGTGGGCTCTCCACCGACGCCCTGGTTCCCTCCCTTTGCCTGGAGGGCAGAGTCTAGCTTCCTTTCCTGAGTCAGAATGGAGACTTGACACAGAGTTTTTTCTCCCTGAGCCTAGAGTTCAAGAAGTTTTCATTAAATACCCCGATCATATTTCAGGTCATTTGATCAGTCAGCTCATCTCTAAAATTCTTTACATTTCATGCAAGCTTTACGACAGGTACCTTCTTCATGCCCAGTTGCTGTGTGTGTAGGAAATAAAAACAAATGTAATGGGAGTTTATAGAGAACAGAACTAAAGCGGTTGCCAAGGAGAACCGTAGTTGGCTTGGTGTGGGATTATCCATACCAGTCAACTCTAACCAGCACCCAGCCCCACCCCCCAGCCCTGCCTGTTTGCTGAGTACACGGACGTCACTGAACATTGCCCATAGTTCACGTTAGGTAATAACAACGCCTAACATTCACTTTCCAGCGGCAGGCCCTATTTTGTTGTATTCTTTCATTTAATTCTCACAATAAGCCGATGGCGTGGGTGGACTATTCATATCCCTGTTTTGCAGGTAAGGCACCAGGAGGCTAAGTAACTTGCCCAGGGAAATGCTGAGCTTAGTGGTATCTGTCCTGAGAGCTCCTGTATGCTTGCATTTCTCCTAAGTTCTGGGTTACAGATCCTTTTACCACTTCTGGACTCCACTCCCGATAATGCCATTTTGTTTTCTTAATATCAACTCCCGCCTAAACACACAGACTAGTCGAGTTGAGATTTAAAGCTGCTCTGGGAGTTCCTTCATCCTGTGGCTGCCTCGCTCCATTTCCTGGGGATGATGTTGCAGGAAGACAGTACCCGGGAAGCCCCTGACTCTCCGCTTGCTCCCTCTGCCTCAGCTTTGTGATGGTCAACAGCGTCGCCCTGGAAGGGGATGGCTGCAACATTTGCTCTGAAGCAGAGGCTGAGCTCATGGACATTTCTCACAAGCTGAACTGCTCCCGAGAGGTAGGAGAGGACCTGAGGGACACAGGTGCCTTCAGTGCTGGGTGTCCTGTGGGCACGGCGAGCGGATCTCAGCTCCCTCTCCCCTTCCTGCCATGCACCCGACACTGGGCTTGCCAGGTCACTGACTGATTTCTGACCGGCAGGAGCAGCACCCCGGCCAGTGTGGGGAGGGGCCGCCGCTGCCGGCCTCGGCCCCCGTCCTCCTGCAGGTGAGGTGGGGAGAAACCGCTCCGGGTGCTGGGCAGGGCCACGCAAGGTCCCGGGAAGCCACGCTGACTCCTCTCTCAACCCCGGGCAGCATTTCCCGCTTTACCGGCGAAGCGACGCTAACTGTTCTGGGGAGGACGCAGCGCCCCCGGAAGAGAAGGGCATCCCCTTTAAGGAGCGCTATGATGTGCTTTCTCGGGAGGCCTCACAAAAGGTTGGGCAGCTCGCCAGGCTCTCACGGGAGGACAGGTGACCCTTGTAGTTTCGACGGAGGGACGGAGGGAGGGTTCTGGCGGTATTTTAGATTTCTATGTCATCATTTTGTTCCTCCCACCCCACCCCCAGTAAATCCACTTCTGTTTGCTAATATCCAGTTAATGACAGTCTCAGCTATTCTGTATTCAGAAATTTCCCACCAACTTAAATGTATTTGGAAATGTAAATGGACCTTAGAGTTAAATTTTTAGGGACTTAAAATGCTCTTCCCTAACTGTATATTTATATAATGTTATTGATAATAGCATATAAACATATTTATGAGGTAAATGTATTAAATATTTATACAAACAGTGACATCGGAGAGGAGAAGAACAGATTCTCTCTAGGAGCCAGAACTTACTTTGAATAGAATCTGAACCAAAGGATTTTAAGGGAAAATCAGAGCAGTCCCACGAAGTGGGAATTTCGGATCTAACTTGATGGTGTCAGCAGGGCGGGCCCGGCGGGGCTCTGGGCCAGCCCTAACCGCCTGTCGCTGTCCCCTGTGCGCAGCTGCTGTGGTGGCTCCGGCCGCGCCTGATCCTGAGCGGCCACACGCACAGCGGCTGCGAGGTGCTCCACGGGGCCGGGGTCCCCGAGCTCAGCGTGCCGTCTTTCAGTTGGAGGAACAGAAACAACCCCAGTTTCATCATGGTAACGTGAACATTTATTGTCGTCTCAAAGCTTTCATAAGTATTTAAATCAACACAGTAATCAACTATCGACTGCTGCAATCTGTAAAAATATACAAGAGCCATACAGAAACTTCCCCACCCCACATGCACACTTAGCTGGATGCACTGCCCCCTGCCTGCCCCCTGCCTGCCATTATTCCCGAGGGGCGAGGGGCGGCGGGAGGAGCCGCTTGCAGAGTGGTTTACCCTTCAGGGACGGCAGTGTCCTCGGTATGAGACTCTCTGTGTTTACTTTTTTAAGGGAACAGGGTCCTTACTTCATTAGCTGTGTGCAGCTTCCTTGTCTTATTTTCCAAACGGGCCCAGGTTCTCTGGCAGAAAAATGCTGCAGCTCTCACACGTCGATGAACACGGGAAGCGCCCAGTCAGTCACCGGTGGCTGACACTGTACTTTCCATCCGGGAGACAGAACTGGCTGGGCGCTTAACGTGCTGAGGTGGTTTCAATCAGCGACACCTGATGTTGCAGCTCCTTTCTTTTGCCCTCGGGTTGCCGCATCCAGTGCCTAATGCTTTTATGCCAGGGACTTGTACTTGATGAAAAGATGGGGAAAACCTCATGTTGTCAAATTCAAAGTCGTAAAGGAAAACATTCCCCACTGTCACCCCACATAGCAAATATGTCTACAAAAAAGAAAAAAAAAGAAAAAGAAAGCCACTGAGATGCCTCTGGCACATGTGTATCTAGGCGACAGATTGCTCATTTTAGCATCAAGAGGCATGAGAAACGGCCTCGCACTCCCGTTCCTCGATGACCGCTGCTCTAAGTCTCCGTGCCTCTCTGACTTCCTTCTCACCACTGCTTGTGTAGGCTGCAGATGTGCCTCCTTAAGTCCCAGGTGGGGAGGGCTGCTCCCTGCCTCACCTAAGGAAGCCAGGGAAGCTGCTGTGTGTGTAAGAAGAGACTGTCGTGTGGGAGCTGTGCATGGAGTGCTCACTGCAGCATAACCTTCTTGTTTCCTTTCCAGGGCAGCCTGACGCCCACAGAGTACGCCCTGGCCAAGTGCTACCTTCCCTTGGAGGACACGGTTCTGACCACGTACTGTGCAGCAGCGGGGTTCCTGGTGGTCCTCATGTTGGTTCACCTTGGCCTTGTAGCCTCACCTGTTCTTTTTGGTTATAAGCTGCTCAGAAAATTTAAGACAGTGTGAAGAGCAGGAGACTTTTTGCATTTAGTAATCGATACCAAAGCCAAAGAAACTGAACTTCAGGCAGTGCTCATGGGAGATGAGACCCAAGTAGACTGTCTTGATGCACATCGCAGAAATGCTATATCATGGATGCAAAGGACTGCAGAATAAATAGTTGATTGCACTGTTCTCATGCTATGAAAATGGAACATGTACTCTACGACAAGTCTGTTTTCTCATTTTTTTTAAATATATGTGGAATCAAAGATTGTATCTGTACAATATGTAAATGCTATTTATTAACGTCATCACTTGCATGCACTGGACAGGCCTTCCTTCCCCGGAGGGAGCCAGCAGCCCTGCGGCACAGGGGGCTTAGGTGCGCACACACCAAACACTGGGTTCGCTCCTGTCCTCCTACGACATTGTTCTCAGAGTCCTATATAGTATAAAGCTGTACAATGAAAATAAAAGTACAGACGACACGAGGAGGAATATACTGTCTACACAGACTTTTTAAAATCAGGGTAATTTTCTCTCTAGCAGACTGAGTTGTTAAATTGGAACTTAATGCCTGTCAATGATGAAAATAAATTTGAAAAATGGATGAGGAAGTGTTTTTTCTGTATTTTAAAAATAAATATCTAGGTAATTTTAAGCCAGATTTGTTTTTTTGTGTGTGTATTTTTTCAACCAAACTTTAAGAAGTTTAGTTACAGGAGGATTGTTGAGTAATAGTAATGCATGCAACAATATATGCCTTTATTTTTTTGTGGGGGCTTTTTCCGTCCAGTTTTCATGTTTTACTTTGAAAGTGCAATGGAAACTGAAAATAAGTTCTGCTTTAGATGTCTCAGTTCAACTGAGAGTTTTATCAAACAGTTAAGGATGAGAGGGGAGCAGGAATTCGGAGATAATGAAATAAAATGTTTGTTGCATTGATTGTCTATAAAGTAGTCATCCTGTCATGTTAAACTAGTAGTATTTAACATTGGATAAGTTTATAAAGGATTATAAAAATGCTAATTATATTATAGAGTAGACTTTAAAATACCAACAAATACTAGAAGACTAAAAAGGGAATTAATGAAGCAATGTAGGCTAGGCTGTCACTTCTCTGGGTTTGTACTGTTGAACTACAACTTTGGACACCGTTACAGAGTATCTCTGACCTACGGACACTACCCTCAAAGCTGTGGCTGCGGCCAGAATAGAAAACGCCTCTGCTACAGTGATTCTTGCTTTCTAGATACACTGTGCCAGAACTTTTGAGGCTGCATTTGCACATCTTTCAAGTTTGAGAAACAGCCATATATGTTGACTTTATATTTCAAACAAAAGGTCTGTCACGTTTCTTCTTCAAAAGGCAAGTGGAAGTGCCATCCTTGGATTCTCCTAGGAAGAATCCAAGACACAAACGTTGACACCCTCTTGTCTTTTTCTTCCTATTTGTTTAAGATGGAACCTGTGGTCAAGGAAGTGGCTCAAAAGCTTTGACAGTGGGAATGGTCAACCCATTTCCACGCAGGGAACATGCAAACATCCTTAAGTAGCAAAATAATCAAGGAACATACTATCTGGAGAGAAAAAACATCTTGGATCCCTGTGTTCCCTGAAGGGAGCTTGTGATGTTAGTAAGCATTATTTCTAAGATGTGGAAGATCGATGTGTATTATACATTTATATATATGTGTGTGTATATATATATATATATATATATATATATATATGTAATTTTTTAAAGTCAAGAAGTATTTTTCAAAGTCCTACCTTGATAAAATGTCCTAAATTCCACAGATACCACTCATTCCCTTCCTTAGAGAAGTGGCAGGTCACGTAGACACTTAGCTGTTCAGCACAATAAAAACACGTTGCTTTTACAGGTGTAGCCATAATCAAGGCACAGAGATCTACCAGGATTTTTCTTTAGAAGTTATACAAAATAATCTTATACGTTGTGGTCTGTACAGTGTAATAAACCAGCAATAAAACAACAAGAATATATGAGAGAAGACTGTTGCCCGAGCAGAGGGAAAGTCTAGAGCAGCGGTTCTCAACCTGTGGGTCGCGAGCCTTTTGGGGGTCGAACGACCCTTTCACAGGGGTCGCCTAAGACCATTGGAAAACATATATAATTACATATTGTTTTTGTGATTAATCACTATGCTTTAATTATGTTCAATTTGTAACAATGAAATTGGGGGTCACCACAACATGAGGAACTGTATTAAAGGGTCGCGGCATCAGGAAGGTTGAGAACCACTGGTCTAGAGACTCATTTTCAGACGGGACACACTTCGCAGTAGTGAAGGTGGTAGGTTTTCTGCCTAAAAAGCAAAGGCTCAAAGTAGCTCTAATTCAAATGCCTGAGGCTAGCAGAGGCTCAAAATATGACTGAGAAAAGGTGTTCTTGCCACTCTGTGGCCTGGGGCCTCCTGAGTCTTGGGCTAATGCAGATCAGAAGCGGTGGCCACTTGTCCGCCTGCAGCTTCATAGAGCTAGAACTGGAGAGCCGTGGCACCCTGCATCTCAGTCCTGCTGGATAACTGGGGGGGAAGAGCGCTTCTCCGCCATCTCTCAAGTTTTTAATGAATGAATGAATCAATCAATCAATCACTGACTAGATGAATAGAAGGGGCCCCACCTAGAGACATCTCACTGCAGTGTCACCCAAGTGAGAGCGGATGGTTGGCAGTGACACAAACTGGGGAGGGTGGGGAACGGCATGGTCCATGAAAACAAAAGCTTCAAACCAAACCTGAGGGGAGCAGAGGTAGCCAGAGGCTTGGTGGTCACGCCCGGGAGCCGACAGAGAGCAGGACAGACACTGGGCGTGGGGCTGGCGGGCAGTCTGGGAATGGGCTGTGGACAGGAGGGCGGGGGGAGAGGGCGCCAGGAGGCGGCCCACCCCGGCGCCTCACAAGAGTTCGTACTGCTTGAGGTGCATCCTCTGGATGATGTCGCGGCAGTCGTTGAAGACCCTGCGGATGTTCTCCGTGTCCACCGCGCAGGTGAAGTGCGGGTAGCAGTAGTGCTTGCCGTCCCCGGTCGCTGTGCTGATCCTCTGCAAAAACAGGGGTGTCTGTGCTGCGGGGCCTCCTGGCCACCTGCCCAGGGGCACATGGGACCGCAGCCCCACCCCTCATTCTCAGAGAAGAACCAGGGCAACACTTGGATCAAAGACTCAGGGCTTGGGGTGTTGTCTGACAGGGAACACAGCTGTAGGGAGTGTCCCACTACTGAACACGCAGCTGGAAACCAAGGCACCTTGCCTTGCTCGGGCCACGGAAGCTGAGGATTCAGTTGAGGCAGGGCACACACGTAAAAGGCAGCCACTGGCTGGTTGGCTCAGTGGTGGTCAGCATTTGCAAACTGCAGAGAACAATAACACTCGAAGGGGGTAGGAAAACAGAGTTAATAACACTGCTTACCAAAAACAGATCCCTTATAAAGAACTTGGCTCTGGTAACTTTGGGATCTTCTCCCGCGTCTGGTGTCGCTGTAGAAATTACAAGTGGAATTTTATTTAAATAACGTGAAACAGAACTACAACGCTATGAAAACTTAAAAGGAATTACAAAGTTGGACTGCGAGCCAGGCTGGTGTGGCCCTGTGGTTGAGCATCGACCCATGAACCAAGAGGGCACTAGTTCGATACCGGTCAGGGTTGTGGGCTAGATCCCCAGTATGGGGTGTGCAGGAGGCAGGCGATCAGTGATGTTTCTCTTTCATTGATGTTTCTATCTCTCTGTTCCTCCCCCTTCCTCTCTCTCTAAAAACCAATAAAAACATATTAAAGAAACAAGAACAAAGCTGGACTACGATATACTCATAGCATTAAAAGACACGTATGGCAACCTGGCCAGTGTGCTAAATGGTTAGAGCATTGGCCTGTGTACCAAAGGGTCATGGGCTTGATTCTCAGTCAAGGGCATGTACCTGGGTTGCTGGTTTGCTCCCCGGCCTGGGCCAGGGTGCATGTGGGAGGCAACCAATCGATGTCTCTCACACTGATTCATTCTCTCTCTCTCTCTCTCTCTCTCTCTGGCGGTAGGGGGATAACTTGCACTCAAATAAAATGACAGCATCTCACTGAACACTGGCCACGCCCGCAGCTGCCTTCACTGTCAGCGGTCTCTGGCGGAGAGAAGACCCCGGTCTCCAGGAGCTGGCACCAGGCCTGTGGCTGCGGCTGCAGGGGTGGATCTGCTCAGCCAGGCCACATTCCCATTCCACCAGCCTTGTTCTTAGAAAGACCCCCTCCTACTGTTCCTACCACAGACTACAGCATCTGCAGCCCCAATTAAAATCAGTGTGGCGCCCGGCCAGTGTGGTTCAGTGGTTGAGCATCGATCTATGAACCAGGAGGTCACAGGTTGATTCCTGGTCAGGGCACATGCGGGGTTGTGGGGCTCGATCCCCAGTGTGGGGCGTGCAGGAGGCAGCTGACCAATGATTCTCAGTCAAGGGCATGTACCTGGGTTTAGTAGTTATACAAATAATCTTACATGTTGTGGTCTGTACAGTGTAATAAACCAGAAATAAAACAAGAATATATGAGAGAAGACTGTTGCCCAAGCAGAGGGAAAGTCTAGAGAATCATTTTCAGACAGGACATGATGTTTCTCTCTCTCCCTATCCCTTCCTCTCAAAAAGATCAATGGAAAAAAAAAATCAACATGGCACCCACTCTGATCTAGGCCCTTCTGAGCCTTTCCCCCATTCGCATTCTGAGTTCATGGAACCAGTCGATAGCTCTGAGGCCCTGTGAAGTTTATTTTCCTAAACTCTAGGCTCCAAATCAGCGTGTTCTCGTCACTGTCTTCCCTTCTCTGTTATGGCCACTGTGGTCTGGGGAGCTCTGCAGGCGCTGAGTCAGCCCTGACCTGGAGGCCTGCCAGGCTTGGCCAGGGAGGTGCCAGGGCAGGCCCGGTGCAGAGGGGAGGGAGGAGTGAGCAGGGGAGGAGCACAGTGTGACTGAGGGTGTGGGGGAGGAGCGCAGTATTGCTCAGGGGTGTGGGGAGGTGCAGCTCTATTTCCTGGACAGGTCAGGACTGGCCTCAGTTTGTGGGAGATTAAGTCAATGTTGATAGGGATCTTACGCAGGTTTGTGAAGTGTTTCAGAAGTCCAAAGAGTTTTCTGAAAAGTTGAGTGACCAGAATCAGGGAGCCTGGGAGAGGAGCTGCACTGACCAGATCCATAGCTGAGATGAGGGTCAGGGCCAGGGCCCAAAGGAGGGGAAAGGAAGCGTGTGTCGTCCTGGGTGGACAGTGAGGTAAGCTCCACAGTGCTGACTGGATGGGTCAGGGAAGGGGGGGCTGGGGACTGGGGAAGTTAAGGCAGAGTCAGTTGTCAGGAGACAGGAAATCAGCAACAGAGAGGGCAGCACCAGGGGTGCTCTGAACACCCCCTGGGGCGGGGGTTAGCCACCTGAGCCCTGGGCAGCACACCCCTGGGCTGCCTGAGGTCCGTGCAAAGAGGCTGATGAATTGTCCCACCTTCTCAGCTGGAGTTTCTAGGAAAGTCCTTTTCATTCTGCTCAATCCAGTGTGGGATTCAAATGTAAGAAGTGGTGTGATTTTGCTGTAAACAAACCTGTCCTCCGGGACTCTGGTGGCCCAGGGTCTGCTCAGAACTGCAGAGCAGCAGCTGGAAACAGCTCTGCCGGGCAGGCCTCCTGCCTTCGCACTGGAGTCCCGTTCCCAGGAGCACCTTAATGGGAATCACCAACGTCGTAGCCAAAGTCACCCCTCAGATAAGAGACGTAAACACGGGGCAGAAAGCCCGGGCTCCGGAGGAAAGGTCCTCACAGGCTCCACCTGAGTGACCTTGAACAAGTGGCTTTACCTCTTTCAGCCTCACTTCCCACAAGAAAACAAACAACGAAAACTCCCACGTAGGGCTACTGGGAGGGTTCGGCGTGCAGGTCCATGTAAAGGGCTGACTGAGGCCCAGGTGAGGCACAACTTACCCCAACGGGTGACAGATTCACCCCCAAACTATCCTCTCTCCAACTGCACAGTTCAGGTGGAAAGTCCAACTGCAATTTTTACAAATGGAAGCCGACCCGGACGTCTTAGGCCGCTCCTACCTTAGGGAGGGGCAGTCGTCAACAGGAGTGATTTTCATTAACTGAGTGTCCTAGAGCCATCAGAACTGTTGGAACTATAGTTATTGGGCTACTGAACAATGAAGTCTTTTCCTTAATCGGGGGAAGCTTGTTTTGAAGCCTTACCATCCTCAGGAACAGTGTAATTTGCATACTCTGGGAAATAATCCTCAATTTTTGACTTCCCTGCCAAGACTTTCTCTGCCAGCATATCTTGTTTGTTCAAGAACAAGATGATAGAAATGGTCCGCAACCACCTGAAAAGGAGAAATAAATACACACATTGCACATCCACTCTGTGGGAAAGAACAGCGAGCGCAGGAGGAACTCAGTGACGAGGGGAGCACTGCGCCTTCCTGGCGGGGATCGGCCTGAGCACTGCCCCACAGACCGATATCTCCATCCCGCACTCGGTCGCCAAGAAAGACATTCTTAAAATGTAACTAAATATGACAGCTGACTCAGCAGTTTTAGCGCCTTCCACCTTATCTTCCCTGGGGACATACACGTACTGGCTAAGGATTACTTATGTAAGAAATACACTTGGATTATTTATGGTGGGTGTAACTTACTAAGAAAGTGTCAGAAAACTAGAAGTTACAGTGTTGTTAATAAGACACAGGACTCCTGAGCTAATCGCACAGAACATAGTTGCGGCTGGCTTGGTTTTTCCTGCCACCTCTGAGCAGGTCTGAGTTCTCCAGACTGGGCAGAATGTTCATCAGATCTAGATCTAGATCCCGGCGCTGGACAGGTCAGGCTGGGGGTGGGGTGGGGGGGCTCAGGCACCGTGGAGGTGCAGGCAGGAAAGTTCTCTGTCTCATTTCGATAGACGCTGGAAACTGGCTTAACACGAGTTCAGTGTGCACATCAGCAAAGCCTTTAGCAAGTCCATTCCTTCGCACAGGAATCTTACCAGGAATTAGAAACACAACCCATTCTTCCCCCACATGGAAATAGCCTTAAGGTTTCTTCCGGTTAAAAAATACACAGCCCTTGCCCTGGCTGGTGTGGTTCAGCTGGTTGGACGATTCTATTCCTGGTCAGGGCACACGCCTAGGTTACGGGTTTGATTCCCAGTTGGGGTGCGTGCGAGAGGCAACTGAGGTGTTTCTCTCTCTCTCTAAAATAAAAAAATATCCTCGGGTGAGGATTAAAAAGATACACAGTCCTTGTAAAAATGAATTTTTAATTATAGAAAACTTAGTAGATAGGAAAAAATAAAATGTAATTACACCCAGAGACAACTATTATGTTTTGACTTTTCATTTTTTTTCTATCCTCACACATATTTATCATGTTTATAAAAATAAGTTCAAGGTGTTTTTAGATCTGCCTTTTCATTTAACAACGTTGTGGTCATTTTCCCATGTGACTGTGTGTGTGTCTATATCTATATCTATAATTATCTCTATTTTAATGACTCCAACATTTCTGTGTATACCCAGTGTTTCTTGACTCGTTCTTTCCCACTGTCTTAATAGTATAAAAATAAGAACAGCTGTTGAGCACTTTATTAGAGAAATATTGGCCTGATAACCCATTGGCCTTTTGCAAGGACAGCTTATGTTTCTGACCTCCATGGTGCTATTTCTCCCCAAATATTTCAGAAGACACTGATTTTTAACTCCATGTGCAGTGTTTGGTGTGTGTGTGTGCCGTTCGCTGCCGTTCGCTCCTGTGTAGCAGTAGCACTTTCAGACAAGAACTGTAACTGATCGTAGGGGTCACCTAGCTGTATGTGGATGCTTAAAACTGGCACTTTCTAAATTCTGAAAACCAAACCAAACCAAACCAAACCAATTTTGTACCCTAGATAATAATCTTAGACTCTTAGGCTCTCAAAACAGAGATTTAAATTTTCTTCACCGCCCTGGCTGGTTGCTCAGTGGTTAGAGTGTTGGCCCTTGCACCTAAGGGTTGTGGGTTCGATTCCCCATCAAGGGCATGTACCTGGGTTGCAGGTGTGATCCCCCGCCCCAGCAACCAATTGATCTCTCTCTCTCTCCCTTCCTCCCCACCTCCTTCCACTCTCTCTAAAAATCAATGGGAAAAAAATGTCCTTAAGTGAGGAATAATGAATTTTCTTCACAAAGCACTAGCAGAGCTCCATCAAGGAACGGTCCATGTTAAGTATGTCTGTATGTGAGATGGACTAAAAAAGCTACTTCCTGCAGGTTTTGGATTTACCGGTAAGGAACGAATGGCTATGTCTGGAAACAATAATAAAAGTGAGCTGAGTGAAACTTTTAATGAAAGGAAATTTGCCATCCAGGGGTGAGACTGAACTTATTATCTTTATAACCTGTTGTTCCAGATGCTTTCGAAAAGGTCCAGGGACTCTCTCAGCCTGTTGGTGTTGTTATCCTCCCGAATCACCATGTTGTAGCTACTGCAGGCTGCCACGTAGATGATGGCGGTGACGTCTGAGGGGAGAAGAGAGGGAGTTAGATGTCACTGGGGGTGATGATAAAGCACACATCCAACTGCTACCCTGTGCAGGGTGACTGTCATTCCCTGACCGTGAGAGAGACCTGAACCAGCACCGTGTGTGCAACTGGTCCTTCAGCCACGTGCCCGGGCAGGAGTCCACCCATATTAGCAAATGGCAGCTGGGAGCTGGGGATACTTAAATTCCTTACTTATGAGAATCATATTTAAGGCATTTTATAGATGATCTCATGCAAAGCTACTTAAACATAGTGGCAGGAGTGAGGGGAGAATCCATCCCCTTTTCTTGAGGGTGCATAGAAATCACCGTTAAAGCACTGGATCCATTTTCTTCTCTCGTCCCTCTGGCCACCGACATCAAACATGCTGTGGAAGGAGAAGAGGACGGTAATTACTTGGGGTGTGAGGACGCACCCTGTACTCTGTGCTCTTCTTCACGCTGCCCGCCTGCAGCACAGCCTGTGCAGCCTCGGCCTGTGTCACCTCGGCCTGCGCGGCCTCGGCAGGCTGCTCGGGCAGCCCCGGGTCTGCACCAGGGAGCCAGCCTGGGCATCCACAGCCAGCTGTTTCTCGGGTCACAGCGCTGGCCCTGTGGTCACGGGGTGGCTTGGGCTCCTCTTCTCAGGGCGGCCTGTGCAGCGCATCCCTCTGCCCGAGTTTCTGGCAGCAGTTTCTCTCCACCTGCCCCACCAATGCCTGGGGTCTTTCTCACCTTCGCAGGCCTCTCCAGTCTTGGATCCCTCCCTTCCCTACACTCACTGCATGCACCTCAGGACCACACAGTCACATTTACTTCTCCGGAAGGATGGCAATCCATTTGGCACTCTGCGGGGTCTCCCGGGTCCATGCCCAGCAGGCCCCAGACGGCAGCAGGGCGGGCTTCCTGCCCACAGCCCCGAAGCAGGCCTGCTCCCAGCAACACACTTACTGAAAGTTCACTTTGTCCACTTGGAATCGGGTCTCAAAAATCCCTGATGTCAGAACTCTGCATCTGAGAAGGTCCTGGAGCAGGAAGAGAAAAGCAGACCAAGGGACACCATTGGTCTCCTTCAGAAGGGACGCCCGGGATGCAAGCATCACGGAGCTTTTCAAATAGCGGTTTCTTCCATTGTAAGAGCAACAGCAGTGCAGTCCTTAAAACTCAGACAGAGGTGCTCTGTCTCCCTCCCCGAGCCCCACCCCGAGAAAGTCACAGTTAATGCACTGGTTTGGTCTTAGAGACTTGATAGCTGTGCTTTTATTTTTTTCAGGATTTTTATTTTTAATCACCGAGGAGCGTAGTCACTGTTGTGCTCCTGACAACCACACCCCTCCCTTAAGGTTGTGGGCGAGATGCTGCCTGCACTCTCCTGATATAACCGATATAACGAGAGCCAGCTGTTCTGGGTTTAGAGCCATTTGGGCGAGAAAGCAAAGGAAGTGCAACTGCACTCACAGATCATGGATGCTTTGGACTGGGTGCTAACAGAGTTAAGATTTCCTCTCTCCCCCGCACACTTCTCTGCTAAGATGAAAGATGACTGTGGCCGGGAGGGGATGAGGAAGCCATAATTTTATAAGCTGACATCTCTTGTATGCTTGCCAGATGTCAGGGTATTTTTTCTGATCACAAATCCATTGTGGTGTTAATGAGGCAGACACTGCAATCTCTCCGGAAGCTGGGAGGTGGTCCTCCCCTCTCAGCCTGGAGAGAGGAGCCTCATGGGAATGCATGACTCAAGGCTGGGAAGGCTCCGTGGCTCTGCCAGGTAACTGAGTGCTCGCTCACAGTCAGCCCCAGAGACAGGTGGGCTTGAGGGATGGAGAGGAGCTCAGACCTCCAGGCCGTGCAGCGCAGAGAAGAGAAGAGCCTCCCTGAGATCCCACGGCAAGGGGGACGGGGAATGGGGGACGCAGACAGGGGAGTGTTGCAGAGGCAGTCTGAACGGAGCCCCCTAACTTCTTTGGAGCTCACTGAGCTCTAGAGGCGTCCAGAGGGCGCTTAAGCTGAACAATTCATGGTTCTCCAAGTCTCTACAGATGCCTGAGGGTCAAAGGTTTGGGGGCCACGGAAGGTCCCTCTCTGCTGCTTGCAAAGGGGTAATTTTCCTGGCTAAACCCCTGGAGAGTGTGCTGTGGTTTGTGACTCAGACCAGGGCCAGAAGCAGGATGGGCAGGGTTTATGAAGCGAGGGAGGCAAAGGTTTAGTTTTCTGTGGAGAGCTCCAAGAGGAATGGGATTGCTTAGTCCTATCCCACAGATAACATTATTTTGATATTGGGAATGGAGAAATTTAGTACATTTCAGAGAGCTAAGTCTATGGGCCATTAACAGGGCATAGCAAACATACCACCTGTACATGCAGGGACAACATAATTTGCAAGGAGTAGTTATTTGAAGAAAATTTTCCTTAATCCATTTAAAGACAATCACTGACTAATACTGACAATTTCTTTGACCTCACGAGGTTCCAACAGGTGGCTCAGCTCTGAGTTCACGTACCTGGTCTGTGGGGGTGTAGTCCACCAGGCTGACGCTGTCGATTCTCTCCAGGAAGCTGAAACGAGAGCCAGCAGTGCTCAGAAAGTCCTCAGATTCCCTTCTCCTGGGTTGTGGGTGACACTGGGACAGCCACACCAGCACAGGACAGGGCAGCAGGAGCCGAGGGAAGCTCCCATTTCCCTTCCCGCACATGTGTCTGCCCAAGTAGTGTAACAGTCCTGATTGACGTAGTCATGTCACCATAACTACCTTCTTCCCTCTGCCTTCCCTCTTCTCTCTTGTCCAATGTTGTAGGGTGGGGGGTGAGGGACCACTCAGAAATTGGAAGGGACACAGACTTCCTTCCAAGGCTAAGCTAGTAGAGGAAGGCCATGGTGGGATGTAAATACAAAATGGGGAGTGAGAGATGTTCCTTTAGCGTAGTAAGTTCCTGATGAGGTCTGAAACCTTAGGAGTGTGTGTGTGTGTGTGTGTGTGTGTGTGTGTGTGTTTAATCTGGGGGGCACACCTGGCGGAAGCTATAAGACTGGTCCCAGAGGTCTGATATGAGACACAACAGGAGGCAGGGAGGAGTAAGCGGCAGGAAAGGAGATCACACTGCACCTGCAGGTGGCAGAAGACAGGTGCGCGCCCTCCGCTGCACCGCCCGCTCACCCGGCAGAGGCACCCTGTGCATCTTGTCTAAGACAGCACCCTTGTCCACCTCCACGCCAACCTGGCTTTATTTTTCTACAAAGTGCTTAGCACGACCTGACATGTTTACATTCATTTGTTTATTGTCTGTTTCTTCCTACAAAACGCAAGCCGCCCAGAACAGGCCTTTGTCTGGCTGGCCCAGGTGTCCCCCGGCACCTCCGAAGACCTGACCCCTGATTACTTGTCTGATGAGTGACATTTGCTCCCCCCTCCTCCTGGAGCTGGAAGAGGTAAGCGAGCAGGTGGCTGAGAGGCCCAGCCCCCAAAGGACACGGGTGGTCAAGACCCAGGAGCTGGTGGGGACTGGTAGCTGGCGGTCAGAGGCCACCTGGGGAAAGAGTGGGCAGCGGGGCTTCAGAAGGGCAGGGGAGCGTGAGGAGAGGGAGTGGGCTCAGTGGCCCAGGTTCTCCTGGCCGAGGATGCCCCTGTGGCCAGGGCGAGGCTCCTACACTGAGGAGAGTGTATGTGACGTAGACAGGGACAGGGGCCGGCTCCCCTGCCTGTCCAACACTGGAAGGTTTGGGCACCATCACTGGGTATGTGAAGTAAAGCAAAGATCGGGCCTTCTCCTAAGCCCTTGTACTTGGGGCATTCTGCATAGCACAGAGGTGCTATCTCCCATCTCTGCTCGATGCCCCACCAGCACCCCACCAGCCTGCACTGCAGGTCTTAAGATGCTTTCAGCACGGGCAAGAGGGAGGCCACGGACACAGCAAGACCACTTAACTGTCGTGGCCACCTTCACTCCTCGCTAAGGACAGTCCCAGTGTCCTGCTGCGGGGATGGCATTTTGGTGCCCCTCCATCCATGTGCCCTTGATTTGGCACAAGGCCCGGCTGCTCCAGGACCAAGACCTACCTCAGAGCTGCAACAAGAGGCAACCAACTCTGCGGCAGGGGAGCCACCGGCAGGCTGTGGCGAGGGGCTAGGGTGGATCTGCTGGTGTTAGAGATATCCGTTCAGAGACAAAAGGCGGTGAGGGCAGTGTCCCAACTGAGGCCATTTCAGCTGGAAGCCAGGGCCAGGCCCACGCAAGGGGAAGCAGCTGTGGGGGGAGGTGCCTGTGACTGCACTGCCTGCTGCAGGAGGAGGTGGCAGTGCCTCTGAGAGGCCAGAGGGACCCTGATCTGCCTGTGGCCCTTCCGGGAGGTGCTGCTCCACGCATACCAGGGGTAGGTGAATTGGCCTGGCGTGCGGGGCTGGTGCCTGAGATGGAGCAGTTTGGACAGAGTACAAACTGAGGAAATGCCACAGGAGGGGACCGCCTGGGAGCTGGAGAATCAGGAAGGCCCCAGGTTTGAAAACCACAATGCCGTTTGGCTAAGTGCTTGCTGGTCTTGAATTGGGTGAAGTACGCACTGAGTGCCTGACCGTCTAGCAGGAAAGGAGCCAAAAGATTCTGTGATGGAGGAAGAGGTTTCTGCCCCTGGAAAGGGAGCTCTGGCCTGTAGCCCAGACCTCCAGGAGGGTCTCGGATGGGGAGCTGAGCTGCTCCCTGCCCCCAACCCCAACCCATGGGCTACAATAACTTGATTCAGAAAGGATCTGTTCTCCTGGCTGGAGATGGATAATCTGACATGTGACACAGAAACCAATAGTCTCTGATTAAAAGGGCTGGAAGGAACTGAAAATTAAACGAAACATGAAGTCTTTGGTTATAGAGTTTAGGAAGCAACCAATTTCTATCAGGATGCAGAGAGGGTGGAGGGAGGTGGGTGACTCAATTAACATGTTAATAAGTAGTATAAGTAGAAACAATGGGATATGGCTAAAAAAATACATGAAAAGGTTCTGATGGATGGGGGAGTACCTTCCTGAATGCTGCTAAAAATACATGGTTCTGAGATGTCGATGACAAAGGCAAAGATGTCAAGTTCTTTTCCCATCCTCAGACTCCAGGATGGGTATTCGAGTTTTTTCCAGCTCTGATGCTTAACCATCTAAGGGAGCTCTGAGAAGCATCAATGAACATTTCCAAGAGCATCTCCTGAATTGTTACTGGTGCTGACTGGTGTTCTGAGTGCATAGGTTTCAAGTTTGTGCAATAAAATAAAAAGTGAAAATTCCCCCAGCATGTGAATGCATCCCCAGTTCTTTGAGACACTCTCTGAGGAATAAAGGAATAAAATAAGAATCTATAAATTTCTGCCACATTTTGCCTAGGTCTTTGGTTCAACCCACATATTTCTCAGCATGTTGTAGAAGTACTTCATATCAGGGCTCCTAAGATAATACAGGGCGTCCCCAAAAATGTATACACACACTCTGAATAATTATAAAGGCAGTTTTATTAAAATACATTTCATTTTCAAAATTGAGCTATCAGCTGTTAAAGTGTGTATGCACTTCTGTGGGGCACCCTGTAAATAGAGATGAGTTTTAAGGGTCTTACTAATTATACACAGAATTTCACATGACTACATTTTAAAGCTTACATAGTCTTCTTAAATATGCCACCAGATTAAAGAATCCCCCGTATAGACCATCCATTCACAATAGATACATAGGTGTAAGGCAATACCGAATTACAACTGTAAAACATCACCCTCATATGGGCACTATGAAAAAGTAGTTAGCCCCAGCTGGTTTGGCTCAGTGGATAGAGCGTCGGTCTGCAGACTGAAGGGCCCCAGGTTCCATTCCCAAGGGCACATGCTGGGGTTGTGGGCTCAATCCCCCCCAGTAGGGGGCATGCAGGAGGCAGTCGGTCAACGATTCTCTCTCATCACTGATGTTTCTCTCTCTCCCTCTTCCTTCCTCTCTGAAATCAATAAAAATATATTCAAAAAAGTAGTTAAAAAGCATTTTATTTAGATTTTCTTCCATTTTCTGCTACAGCTGAGGATATTTATGTTTGCAGAAGCATTTTTATTCTCATCATTTAGATCTTCTTTCTGTTTGATATTGGTTCAAAATAGCAATTCATTGTTTATTTCTCATCTATTTCTGCTCCTCTTCTAAAATAACTTAAAAGTCACAGAGTTCTTATGCCCATGGAATTGATCATGAAAAGGGATACGGAAGGGATCATGAAGAGATGATTTATTTAAAAATCATTTACTTTTAACATATACATTTAAATATATTTAATATTATCTCTGTGAAAAATTTACCAAGTTGGAACTCTGTCGAGGTAAGTAAAAACCTTTTCTCAGTGTTACTGAAATTGATTTCAAGATACTTATTTTCATGATATAAAAATACTATGGAGTGACAAAGAGCAGCATGGTTAAGACCCACGCTGCTTGTATAACCACGCAGAAACCCTATTTTGTTTAATCTGACCTTTTTTCCTTTTTCCACCCCTTTTGATTAAAACTGGCCTCATCCAAAACTCTGACTTAGCCACCTCTCCCGTGAACAAGCCCCCCACCTCCCCCTTAATCATTGAGCCCTCAGAACAAGGCTCTGGTTGGCATCAAACAAAATGGAACATCCCACTGACTAAACCCTGGGGAAACCAGCCAGAATGATGCCATGGCTGACATCAGGACCAGATGCAATGACCAATTACCCACTACCCTAGCAGGAGCCAACTGAGCACACCAGGTCCAGCAATCGTGACCAAGAGAAACACTGTCTGTCCTGTTCCATATGGTTGTAGAGAAACCATCCAGCCATAGAAACAGGAACCTAGGTAAACCAGGCAGGCATTTTGTTAATGCCAGTCAGTTGATTAAAACAATGACAGGGGCTTGCCCATCAGTTTGTTCAATGCCAAATGGCTAGTGGCTTTTTGTCAAAAGTACTCAAAGTCTTGAGTTTTGGATTTTGGCTACAGAAATGCCTCCAAGAGGGTGTTGTGCATATTGCAAAGGAAGAATCTAGAACAGAAAGTCCCTCGCTTCTGCTTCACAATGTGAGATTGTCTGGCTGACCCTGAGACTACGCTCAGTTAATAAGGTTTAGACTGGTACTTATTTTAGGTGTCTCTTTTCCAAATCAAAGACAGCTGGGTAGGTACACAGTGTCCTACAGTCACAGCATGTCTCTATCTAAAAGGTACACATATACATTAACATTCCTTCAAGAAGAAATAGCTTTAGTAAGCAAGTTCTCCAATAGCGCACATGTAATTGAACTGAAATAATCTAAATTGTTCATAAATAAATGAAAAGTATATTCTAAATCCATGTTAGAAACTGTACATTGAAGGCAGAAAAGTAAAAAGGAGAAATAAAGAGTAAAAACTATTAGTAGTTGCATGGGAGATTAACTATTTCCTTAATGTTTGAGTTGGATCCTTTTGAAAATTGTATCTGTTGCCTGGAAAAGTTTCAATGTGAGGGAGAATCTTGTTGCCTTTAATAAACTATCATAATAAAGAAGTAATAGCTAGAAATAGGCTTCTAGAAACGTGCATGAAAATTCCATGCTACCTGAACAGACATTCAGGTAGTGAGTTTGGAAAAATACCAGGCTTTCTGAACCAAACCTACCTCTGAATTATTGTTCTTAAATACTCTTAAACAGAATGCACACTTACATGTAGTAACATGCAGTTTAAGATGATTTATTTGACAAACTTCTGTGGTTTACACTTCAATATTTCATCAACTGCAAAAATAAGGAAATTCATGGGTCTAATATGCTTTCGAAATAATACTTATGGTTCCTAAAAATTTACATCCATATAGTTTAAAATGAACATATTTTAAGAAAGTTCAAGCTTATTCAAGCATTGTTTAATCTCACAAAATAGATGAATATTGTTGGGAATATTTCTATTACAAAAGGGTCATCAATTTACCAAAGAACTCAACACTAAGCTATTTTCAAAGTTTTAATTATTTGTTCCAGTCTAAAGAGGGGTTACAACTCATGCTGAACTCACACAGTTGCCTCTGTGCAACCAGGTGGATGAGAGGAGACATCGAAAGGAGGGAGTTCTACAAGGATGTGGCACAGACAATGGACAGGTGTCCCTTAGAGAAGACTTCAGAACAACCACCAGTCAGATATAAAGACACTTAAATTTAAGGGGCGGTTCTCCTCTACATATACGTGCTGTTTTCTCCCCTTAACCACAGTCAGTTACACTGGAAAACATGTCATTAACAGTGAATCCTTCAAAGGGTCTGGGAGAGTCCCTATAGTTACCTTCTGAAACACTGGTTTTCTCTGTTGGAGAAATCTTCCAGTGAAGGAAAGGAGGGATTTAAAATATCTGTAAGTATTCAAGTTAGATTAACAGACTTGTCAAGGCAAAAGCAAACTGGTGTTCTTCATGTTTTGAGGCTAAGAAGGTTTTGGCTACAGGATTTCCTTTTCAGCTAGAAAATACACCCTGCTCTTCCAGAAGGATGGAAGGCAACACAGGTGAGTCCTAGCCTCAGAGGGTCAAGCACGCTGTCCCATCCTGCATCTCCTCCCCACCCCCCCAAACACACTTCGTTCTGGCTGCGTGGCTAAGTAAAACATTCCAACTTACATTTCCAAAGTTTTTAAGGAATTGTCTTAAGAACAACATAATAGATGCAAATAACTAGAACGTAAAATGCTGTTCTAATTTTAACTCTATTTTTGGTTGTTAAAATCAAAACAAAACCCACAAACACACAGTCTCAGGGTTTTCTCAAACCAATCAGCAGTTCTTTGGCAATGTTAGGGTAAGTAATGTGGCTGCTATGCTAATTAACATTTTATAAGAAATGTAATTAAAGCGTTGAGATAGGAAAATAACTAGAAATGTTAGAGAAGCTCATCTGAAAGAAACTGTCATATGTTAAACCTTGTAAATCTTAAAAAAAATTTACAGAATGTAAACAGTAAAAGTGTATTATGCAAGGATGTCCTAAGGTAATTTTAATATAAGTTATGAAACAGATTAATAGTCAACTGTAGTCTTATTTTGATGGCAAAAAAAAACAAAGGATACACAGAAATGGCACTGTTCATTAAATAAGTCGAATGAGGTGTTGATAACCCTGCCAAGTAATCACTCTCCTCTTTTCATGTACCGCATGTCAATTTTATATATTACCAACAATGACACTACATTCAAAATAAACTTCGATTTTGATAGTTCAGGCAGAAAACGGAATACACAGGAACTAGAGATTTGATCAGGTTTTTGAGGAAGACTCATCTACGCCAAGTTAACGAGTCCTGTTAAAAGGCAGCTATAAAAATACACATTATCACAAGATAGACAGAACTTTAAAATCCAGTTAAGGGTGGAGAGAGCCTGGAATTTCTTAATGTACCCGAGCGCGCTGTGAACCCGAAGGCGGAAGCATCGAAGAGCGTTCAGCATTCAAAGGCTGTAGTGTGCAACCTCTCTCTCCAGCAGACGGAGTGCGTTTCAGACGGGGCCGCCGACGGGAGACCCCAGGGGGAGCTCCGGGGTTACACCTGGTCTCGCAGGCGGGCCAGCCGCTGGGACAGCTCGTCCTGCTCCGCCGAGGCCACGCTCGTGCCCACCGAGTCGGTCTGGCCCTGCGGCAGCTCCATGTTGAGGTCCAGGCCGGCCTCGTCCGCCATCTCCTGGAGCAGCATGTCCACTTGGCCCTGGGGCGTGGTCAGCGTCGTCGTGCTGCTCATCGTGTCTTCCATCTGCTGCGTCTGGACGTCCAGCGTCTCAAACTGGTGCTCGAACTTGTCCATCAGGGCGGAGATCTTCTCCAGGTTCATGGTTTTCAACGTCGCGTCCATCGACTTCACCACCCCGGCCATGGACTTGGTCACCTTGCCCATCGTCACCGCCGTCTGGACCCTGGCGGCCACCGCGTCCACCCGCGCACTCATCCTCAGGAAGTTCACCCCCTGGTTCTTCTGGCGGATGGCGTTCTCCGCGTGGATCTTCGCGACTTCCATGTTGCCCTTCTGAATGGCCTTTTTGATTTTGGCCTTTTCGGCCTTCTCCTCTTTGTCGCATTTCTTGGCGCTGCGGCTCAGCTCCTTGGCCGCGAACTTCAGGTTGAACAGGTGCTTCTCCATGTTGGACATGGTCGGGCGGCTCCTCGGGGTGGGCGGCCGGGCGGGCGGGCGCGGAAGGGAGGCGGCGAGGAGGTCCGCTCGGGGTTGCCGCTCCTTTGTTTTGGTCCTACTTCCTGTTTTTGCTACGCGGCGCAGGCGATGACGTCAGAGCCCGGAGCCGGGAGGTGGGGCCCGCGGGGCGGAGGCACTGGGGGCGGGGCCTGTGGGAGGGACCTTAAGGCCGGACTCCCCCCAGCGGCGAGCTCAGACCTGACTCAGGGGACGGCCCGGCTGACTAGGGCACTTGCTTTCTGCGCTGAGTTCTGCACCCCCACGCACCCCCTTTTTAAAAAAATAATATATTTTATTGATTTTTTACAGAGAGGAAGGGAGAGGGATAGAGAGTTAGAAACATCCGATGAGAGAGAAACATCAGCTGTCTCCTGCACACTCCCCACTGGGGATGTGCCCGAAACCAAGGTACATGCCCTTGACTGGAATCGAACCTGGGACCCTTCAGTCCGCAGGCGGACGCTCTATCCACTGAGCCAAACCGGTTAGGGCTTTAAGTATATAAATAAGCAGATTCATGAAAAGCCATGTTCACACACCCACTTTCTTAGGCTATGTCTGCTGAAATGTGCAGAATGTGTCTAGAGCTGCCGGTAAAAAGTGTCCTAACTCTAAACGTGTCAGGCCTCCAGGTGTCTGGGCAGAGGGCTAAAAACCAGCCATCAGCTAGGTCTGCAGACCAAAGCTTTCTCTCTTTGCACGGGTAACTTCCACTTTCGGAGGGGAACCTGAAACCATGGATTGCTAATACATGAAACTATAAAACAAAAGATGTGTTATTGTCCCGCCTTGCAATCTCTGATTACGGTTTGGGCTGCGGTCCTGTGATATCATTTTTATTTATTTCACCAATGGCTGAAAATACCTTCAAAATCACAGACCACCACATTTTTACCATAGCTGGAAGTTCGGTTTATTGGTGAGTTGCCAGCAGCTATCATCCAAATATCTTTCTGTGATTTCATAATAAAAAACACACACACCATCATTTGCCAACACTATTCTATCTATTTGATGTTTCATAAATACCCAAGGAACTTCACTCATATTTAAGTTTGACAGGCTAAATTGTCGTTTTAAATTATGCAGGCAGAGAACAGTGAAGTATTGGGACCCACACCCACAGGCATACATCAAAAACTGTCACTATGTATTATACCCTTAAAAATGCAGGCTTTAAATGGCAGCAATGTGCTGTAGCTTTTTTCTTTTAGAAAGATTGCTCAGATACAGCAATAACAAAATATAAGAAGGTCCAACCTGCTGAATGAGCTAGGTTGAAAATGATTACTGAGAGCTCATTCTGTTTAGAGATCATTTTGATCCAGAGTCTCCCCATCCCCGTGTGCCTCCTGTGATAACTTGCCAAGTGTCTTGCACCACAAATTAAAGATGTGCTGGTGTTACGTGCATTTTCCTAAAACGGCTCTGATTAGATCACTCTCTTGCTCCAAACCTGGGCAGAAAGGCTGAACTCCTCTATGTGCCATATTGGGTCCCCATCCTCTCATTTCTTTCCCTCCCCTATGCTCCAGTTAAACCAGAATGAAGCTTGGAAATGGAGTATCATTTGATCAGGGTGGAGAATGAGAATTGAAGCTCCACCCTCTGCTGCCTGGGCTTCCATCCCATTCATCTCTGCCTATTGCCCCTCCTCAAAAGCCACCTTCTCCACGAAGCCTCCCAGGGCCCCTGCCTCTGTGGTGCCATTGTACCCGGCAGCTCTGCCAGAGCATACAGGGCAGACTGCAGAGACAGGGTACCTACTGTATCATGAACCTTCTCCCCTGTGGGCAGCAAGTTTTCTGCACACAGTAGGCACTGCATCCAATAAGGTTTTGCTGAATTGAATTGTGATTGGCAGGGATAGGGCATTACCCTCATTAGCAGCTTAGCCAAGATTACTTTTTTCCCTAAAGTAGACTCTTTCCTCACATGTGACATTTCTAGAAACAGAATAATAATAATAATAATAATAATAATAATAATAATACAATAAAGAGAAGAAATCTGTTTGAAGTGGGGCTAGAGGGCCTATGCCTCCTTCTCTGCTCAACCCCATCTTACCCTCTCTTTCTTTTGGGTCCCTGGCTTGCAGTTAGCAAACCAGTTCCTTAACCATGTTCCATGTTCTACAGTTTGCTTAATGACAAATTCTCATTAGGTGAGAGCGTTTACAATATAATCATGAGAGACTGTGATAGATTATGAGCATAATGACAACTAACATTTATTAAGTACTGATGAGCCAGGCATTATTCTGGACACTTTATATGAATTAACTCATCTCATCCCCATAAACCTAAGGAGATAGACACTATCAACACCTCCAATTTACAGGTTAGGAAACCGAAGCACAGAGAGCTAAGCAACTGGTCTGGGACCACCCACCTGCTGAGTGTTAGAAATAGGGTTTCATAGATATACTGGGGACCAATAATAAAAAACAATGGGGAATCCAATAAGTTAACAAAAACAATAGACTGGTCATCTTTGAATTAAAATAAGTCGATTTACCAGTTTTCTTCTGAGAAGATTGAGAAGTTGCATTGACTGCAAGGTTGATATGACCTAAGTAAGGTTGCTAAAAGAAGTTAACATCCCCTGAAACTACGTTCATTGAATAATGGAATAACCGCAAGTCTCCCCTTCAGCCTGGTCACAGTCTAGAGCAGGGTGGGGAAACTTTTTTCTGCCAAGGGTTATTTGGATAGTCATAACATCATCTGTGGGCCATACAAAATTATTAACTTAAAATTAGCTACTATATTTGGTCAAGCATTTAATTAACTCACCCCTAATGCCTTGGCAGGGCCAGACCAAATGATTTTGGGGGCTTTATACGGCCCTTGGGATGGATATTCCCACCCCTGGATTAGTGTGAGGATCAATTTGTTAACTCATATAAGGTGCATAGAATAGCACCCCCACATGGTAAGTTTCAATAATGATGAGCTATTTTGCAGCTACCATTTGAAGCTTAGAAATACAGGACACATCTCTTAAGGTATTCGCAAGCTGTCCACTTTGCTAATAGTAGTAGTGGTTCTCGATGAATTCCTGGGTTCCTTGTAAGTGTTTCAAAGAATTCAGCGAACACTGGAAAGAACTGTAAAAAAAAGCCCCTCATACACACCAATGTCTTAAATGCCATGTTGCAATTTGTGGGGAACCACCAATGGGTTAATTTGTGCTGCTGTTTCTGACTTTTCCTTAGACTTCTTATCACATCTCTACATATGTATATTTTCCTCCCCTCTACATTTTATTATGAAAAAGTTCAAACATGCAACACATTCGAAATCATTTTATAGTGAACGCTTGAATACCCACCATCTAGATTCTGCCATTACCATTTTACTATATTTAAAACCCCCCACATATCTATCCATGTATCTATCTTATTTTTGATGCATTTCAAGGAAATTGTAGACACTGGTATACTTCCTTCTACATATTTCAGCTTGCAGATCTTTATCTAGACGTCAATATTTGTTTATAGTTTTTTAAAATGTAAAATTTAGATCCAAATACACACAAATCGTAAGTGTACATTTGCTGAGTTTTGACACCTGCGTGTATCTGTGTAACCCAAACTGTCAAGATACTATGCACATATTTCGTCTTCTTGCAGATGTGCTGTCTGGAAGGAAGGTTGTAGCAGAGCACTGGCCACGGTTTAGATGGCGCAGCATCTGTCCCCAGTATAATCGGGAAGGGAGGTCCCTGAAGGCACAGAGGATGCAGCATGCTGCTTCACCAAAGGCCATCCCCAGCTCTCACCACACAGTACCTGTCATATCATCAAAGGTGAAAATGTGACACATTTCCACACTAGACAGTATTGTGTCTTTAAAAATGTAAGCATCTTTCAGACTTCACATTTATGTTAGCTACTGTAAGAAGTTGTTAGAGGCTATTAATTCAGCTTGGAAGAAAATTTCTTACAGTCTCCTTTTCACATTTCTGTATAATTTAACTTAAAATGGTTCCTGTGATTATAGGGCAAACAAAGAAAACAAACAAGCAAACCAGTTTTTGCTACCATTTGCTACTACTCATCTACATAAGCCAGAATATTTCCATACACCCAACCCCAGCAGGAAAAAACTGGATGTTGAGCCTACTGCAAAACTCAACTGTCACCTATGAATATTGAAATTCAATGTCATTTTATTCAAAATGGCTACACAGAACTTATAATAAGTACATGTGATTGATGTGAACACCTATAACATTTAATTCTAAAAAAATACTACTTTGGTATGATATATTTATTCTAAGAAAATATCACTTTGACTTGGGATTTGATGTAGACTGCATTTAGTCCTGTGGCTACAAACTTTGGAAACTGGCCCTAGTTTTTAAACTGGGCCCTACGGAGCCTGGTGTGTCTTGGGGCCAACTGAGGGGCCACAGAGGAGTCCGGGAGGGGCTAAGGGCCACTAGTTGGGCTTCTCACCACCACTGACCCCTCCTCACTATTGTTATTTGACACAGAATACTGTTTGACAAAGGGTCTCACTTCTAAGAAATAAGTGGAAAAATATAGCTCTAAGGTATAAAAATATTATTATTATTATTATTATTATTATTATTTTACCATGTATAGTTCAAGGGCCTGATTTTCACAGCCTTCAAAATGAACCTAACAATACCCAGTGAATGGGCAACAGCATCAGAAACTAGTGCGAGGGGCAAGGACTTAGAGCCCCAGCTAGTCCCAGGGTCCTGTCTTCTGTAGGAAGTCTGAGGATTCAATGAGGTGTCCCATAGGAAACCACTGGGATTTTCCACTCAAGGGAGTAGTTTTCTGAAAGATTTAAATAATCCACGTACACAGTGTGAGATAATAGAAAATATATATCTATCTGCCCCTGTCTCCTGGCACAGAGCTCCTGAAACCCTTGTAACCTCCAAAGTTATAAGAGCACTAGAAGCATCTTTTGTTCTACTGTTTGGCCTTTGACTGCAGTTCCTGACACAGAGCTCCTAAGTCCTTTGGAATGTCCTGAATAATAGAGGTCTTGTTTGTTCTGGTCAGGTGACTCTGGGTGGGCTCCTAGAGCCATCCAGGGCTGGTCACCAAAAGGACCAAGCCATGATTCCAGGCCCACCCCCAGTCTCCAGGTAGGAGAGAGGGGGGTGGAAATGGACGTAGTGAGGGATCATGTTTACATGACAAAGTGTCCATAAAAATTCCAACAGTACAGGGTTTGGAGAGCTTCCAGGTTGGTGAACGCACACATGCACCTGAAGGCTAATACACCCCAGCTCCTGGGCTCCAGACCCCCCATCCCCAGGCCTCCCCTATGTATCTCTTCTTCTGGCTGTTCATCTGTATCCTTTAATAAACTGGCAGACATAAGCAAGTGTTTTTCTGAGTTCTGTGAGCTGTTCTAGTAACTAATCAAACTCAAAGGGGAGGAGATCATGGGAACCTCTGATCTGTAGCCAAGTTGAACAGAAGCTGTGGGTAACCTGGGGACCTACTATGTGCAAGTGGCCTCTGAAGTGGGGCAACCAGATGGGACTGAGCCCTTAACCTCTGGGTCTGACCTTGTCTCCAGTAGATAGTGTCAGAATTGAGTTAAATTGCAGGACAACCAACTGGTGTCACAGAGAATTGCATGGTGGGGGAAAAATCCCCCCTCGCATCTGGAGTTAGAGTGCTATGAGCATGGCAGTCCTGGGAGAGTAAAGGAGAGACACACAGGAGGACAAGTGCAGGTTTCCTACTCACATAGAAACATTGGTGCTAAGCAAACCCTCTTAGAAATTCCTTCCGAGGACGAGGGTTTACAAACGAGCATAGGAGACACAGATAACCAGGGGCTGACCGACTTACACTGAGATAGCTGGTCTACCTACTTTGTCCTGCCACTAAGTTTATTCTTCATATCTATAAAAAGTATACGGCACTGCCCATAAACAGGAACATTTCCAACTCCACATATCGAGAAAATAAAACAGAAAATAAAGGTCAAACGAGAGTTCAGAAGAACGTGTATGTGTACCCAGACAGTTGATTATATATTTAATGAATTCAACAGTACATGGTAGTTTCTCTAATTTTAAAATGACCTGCAAAAAATAAAAGTCAACTTTGAAGTTCAAATTTCATTTTTGCTAATAATTTCCAGATTATCCTGAAAGCTTAGATTCAAGGACTTGAGAGCCATGAGCTCCAAGTCAGTACTAGAGAGAGGTTACACGTAGTTGCCAGGACTCCTGACCGATCGCAAAGGCAAACAGGAGACGGAGCAGAAAATCACGTTACCTTTCTCACTGCTCTTTTCTTTTTTCTAGGACATTCTCTGCCTTTGAGAATATTCTAAAAGCAATTATTCAAATGGATGTACCCCTAGAGAGGCTCTTAGCATGTACGTAAACACATTGGTGCAAAACATAAGAACCTATACTCTCAGCTGCAGAGCTTCAGGTTACATTAAGCAAAGTCTGATTTTATAAACCTGCTCTTAAGATCCAATTTTCTCTCTCCCAAAATAGCTGTTTCCATGGCTACATAATCATTTATTATTAGGACTTAGAGGAAATGCATTTTGGGGGATAATGCAGTAGAGATTGTTTTTAAGGTTTCCAGTGGAAAGTGGGGAACTGTGTATCAAATATAATCTCTGGTCATTTGCACAGCTTGCTTGATGCTTCAAATGCACCCATTTTTACCAAAAGTACAATACGTACTGAAAGCTTGGTTATAGTAACTGTTCCACACGCCTCTAGCCATGTCAGTCCTGGTGTGGGAGACTGCAGTCCAGCTGCCCTGGCCTTAACACAGCCTCTGGTCAGGGCCATGCAAATGGCCATTGACTGGGCCAGTGTGATGGGGTGGGGAACAAGGCTAGATGGGAACAGGCTGCCTGGCTGCTAACAAAACTGATCTCCTCTGCTTCCTCTGGGATCAGCAGCAAGGGATGAGAAGAGCAAACAGGAAAAGTGAAGTCAAAACACTTAGCCAGCAGGAACAGAAAAGCAGCTCCCTATAGTACCGCAGACTCACTAGTGGCTTCTGGGAGACTCAAAGCAAATTTCCCTTTCTCTGAAGCTTCCTGAGCAAGTGTCCACTCCTTGCATGCCAAATAGCACAACATAGGTCTTCATGGCCTTTTCATCTGCATAGCATAGACACTTCATCACCGGGGAGCTCCCACTCCCACGTGCATGTGTCTGCAGGCTTGGAGAGCGGCAAGTGTCTGGCTGGTTGAGGATGAAGAAGCAGGCCCTATCAATGCATGCTTAGGCTTTCATCTATAGATGACAAGAGGACCCCTGTTTCCACGAGGAGACTGCCCTGCTGGCCAGGCTTGACCAGTGTTCCCATTACTTTTCCTGCTCTGCTTCTTCCTTCCCTGTTATCTTTCTTTTTTCAGATTGAGATATAACTCACATAATACAATTTCACATAACATAACAATCACCATTTTGAAGTATACAATTCAGTGGTCTTTAGTAAATTCACAAGTTTGTGCAAACATCACTACTATCCAATTCCAGAACATTCTCCATTATCCCTAAAAGAAACCCTGTACTGTTAGTAGTCACTCTCAGTGATCCCACCCTCAAACCCCTGGCAACCACTAATCTACTTTCTCTTTTTTTTAAGATATGTTTTTATTGATTTCAATGAAGAGACGGGAAGGGAGAGGGAGAGAAAGACAGAAACATCAATGATAAGAGAAAAACATTGATCGGCTGCCTTCTGTACACCCCCTACTGGGGACTGAGCCCGCAACCTGGGCATGTGCCCTCACTGGGAATCCAACTGTCACCTCCTGGCTCATAGTTTGATGCTCAACCACTGAGCGCTCCCCTTAGATATCATGTTGGCGTCTCAAACTTAACTTTTTCCATCTCCATAAATGGCTCCATGCCCCACCGCTTTATCATCCTTTACCCCTGCCCCCTTTCCACTGCCGCCCCCACCCAATCTACCTCCTACCTCTGTCCCTTCAGCACTCAAGGCCCAAGGCTCACCTCTATGGCCACCACCTGACCCAAGGAACCCTATTCAGGTCTCTGCCTCCTTTTGTTAATTCTCCGTACAGCAGCCAGAGTGACCCTGAGAACCTCATTCATGGAGCTGCTGGGTACTCCTTGCATTTGGAAGATCCAAGTTCCTTGGCAAGCACTTGGAAGGGTCTGGCCACAGCGACCCCTCTCAGCTGTTTATGACCACCCTTCCATCACCTATCTGCTCCCAGACTGGCTTCCTGTCAGTGCCTGGGACACACCCAGTGCCTCCTCCTTAGGCCCTGCCATTGGCCCCTCTCAGTGCCTGTCACATGGTGATGGTGCCCGAACTCCTAAGGATGAGAAAGGGCTGCTGGTGGCCACACAACTGCTTTCTCCTTGAAATCTGTATTTACAGCATAGTTCCATTAGCTGGTTCCAAATACTGTGAATTCTCAGATTTTATGCTTATGGAATCCTTCAACATGTATGGATTTTTAAAGTTTACAGACTAAAAATATAAAAGTGCTGATTTCTTGCTGCCCAAAGAGTCATATAAAACGATTAGTTTAACACAGTTTTTGTTATCAAACTAGCAAACATATCTAGAACTTCTTGATTAACATTTTCCTGGGGGACCATTACTCTCTAATAGTCATAGAATGAATCTAAAATACCAAGGAATTCCAGGGAAAAGCAATCAGCCAGCCTCGGCACCAGAGTCTTTTCCTTATTTCTATTTCTCTTCATTACATTTCTCACCAAATATTTACTTATCATTGATTTCATCTACTCTCAGGGTCCTAATTCACTTCTGTGTATCACTTTTTGGGGTCCCTGCTACAAAATTAAACTATAATAATGAATATCCCATTACATTATAATTTACACTATGTCTGTAACCCTATAGAAGTCAACATAAATAGAACTGAAAACAATGGTCAGGATAAAAATAATACCACATGCTTCTGATTCTTCCCCAGAACACTGATTCCTACTGGATTTCAATTTCCCATCTCCTACATGTACCTCATTTTGAAAGCTGATTTCTGTAGTGAGACGTTAATATTTGTCCCTAGCATTCGAGAGACGCCAGTGACCCTGGGAGGGCAGCACCCCTGTGGTGCAATCCTAGCCTCGAAGAGGCCTGGGCCTGACTAGGCAGACTTACTATTGTGCACAGTCGATCAGTTGGTATTCGTTTGACCTCTCGAAGCACGCCTTCACGCCTTCATCATCCCAAAGTTTCTTCACATGATCAAAGAACTCCTAAAATTTGAAAAAGTTACAAATGAGAGAATGCATGTGTTATATAATCCTTCAAAAAGTTAGAAGTAAAAAGAAACTGCTCCCCAATGTTTGCAGGTAGCACATGAATTATTTTCCTTGTGGAAGTCTACTTGACACACGGGAAAATGCCCAGATCTTGAGTTCTGTGTGATGAAAAATGGATGCATGTGTGTCATCATCATGCAAATTAACCTGTCAAACAACCTTATCATTCCAGGAAGTTCTCCAAAATAAAAATTGCAAGTCAAAAGTTAATGACATTCATTAACCAGAAATACACTTAGCTAATAATTTTAAAGTTCTTAGTATTCAATAACTTTACTAGTGGCACTGCCACTTTAGTAATGAGAACACATGCCTATTATAAGTTCTGCTACTTAAGAAAAAGATTTAAAATCACACTTTTTGGGGATAGTAATTTATTGCTTTTTTTGCATTAAAAAAACAAAACTATGAGTTAATTGTGAACTGTGATTGTTGGTTCACTCAAATCTGTGTGGACACAAGTGCTCAATTACATCCACTGTGATAGCAGCATCCTTTGACACACTTTCCTTATCGCAAAGTAAAAGGTGGCTTTAGGAATTCATGTTGCTGAATTTACCCAAAGTAACTTAATACTGTCATGGAAGCAAATGGCTATATATTAGTTGCTAAATATAAGTTTTCATTAAAACACTTTGTTAGAATATTGACATCTCTTTCACACCAGTCTTTTGCCCCTCACGGCAACCACCCAAGTTCACAGTATAGTTATCAAAGTTGACTTCCTCTCATTGTGTTCACAACTGACTCTGGCTGCTCAAAAATTTCCTTCTGCATAAATGGACTGAAGTTGCCCTTCATGATCTGCTGGAGTTTGCACAGCCCTTCCAGGGCGATCCCCTGCCGTTCATTTAATTCAATGGGTAGAAAGACGGCCACCCACCACCTCGGCTACATCATCATCTTCAAGAAAGATGACACGACTGGTGTGTTCTATGACAGCACTTGCATCAGAAGCAAAGTAATACCCCACCGCCTTTTCTTCAACAGGGAAAAGGCAAGTTGTGCTGTCCACACTGGAGAGACTGCAGCTTCCTTTCTCATCTTTGCCTGTTCTGTTGAGTACTGGAATTTGATGAGCAGAGAGTTTATGTTCACTTCGTACACCAACCAACAGAGGGCTATCTCATCTCCTGCCAAGTGCTTGGCCAGGAAAATGAACACCTTTAAATACAAGTGCAAAAGCACCTTCCAATTGTTGGATAACTCTCTCCACCAAGGTAGTAAAACTGGTATCTCCCCTTTCCCGGTTGTCATACACGTATTTAAGGAGCTTGGCAATTGTCTTTGTATCTGTTTCAGCTTCAACGTCATAGCCTTTGCTTTCCAAAAAAACGGTTTCAAGTCTTTGTAGTTGGTGACGATTCCATTGCAAATAACAAGAAGTTCATTATTTTACCAGAGCGCTGGGGATGGCCATTGAGAGGACTGGGCTCACCATGTGCCGCCCAACGGGTATGAGCTATTCCAAGGTGCACATCGAATTCTATATCCAAATCCATAGCCTGTTTGTGAACTTCGTCACCCAGTGCTGTTGCTTTCCTTTCTTCTTAATGAGCTGGCTTTTGCAGGCATTGGCTTCCCAATCTTTGTCACTGCCTTCATCAGCTCCCACACTAGCAGAATCTTATCTGTACTCCAATATCCGAAGGCCTTTGATTAGGGCCTCCAAGATTTCTCCTCTTGTGTGAGGGACATGGTAGTTTAAGTAAGCAGGAGGCACGATCCTAAAGGCAAGTGGTGAGTGTCTGGCAAGGCCGGGAGTGCATGCAAACCTTTGGGGCTATCGGAGGGCTTAGGGGATAATTATTTATTCATTCACCAGTTGATGGACATTTGGGTTATTTCTAGGTTTTTTTCTTTTAATTCGTTAGAAACTACTTTTAAAAAATATGTATTTTTACTGATTTCAGAGAGGAAAGGAGAGGGAAAGAGAGATAGAAACATCAATGATGAGAAAGAATCATGATCAGCAGCCTCCTGCACGCTCCCTACTGGGGATTGATACCTGATGGGAATGAAACTGTGACCTCTTGGTTCATAGGTTGACACTCAACCTAGCTGGGAGGGTTATTTCTAGTTTTTGACTGTTATGAATAGTGCCGCTAGGAATATTTGTGCAACAGTCTTTGTATGGACTTTTATTTATTTCTCTTGGGTTTATACCTAGGAGTGGAATTGCTGGGTAAATGGTAAGTGAATGTTTAACTTTAAAAAACTGCTAAATTGTTTTCCAAATTGGCTATTCTATTTCACATGGTCAAGAGCAATGTCTAGGGGCTCTAATTTTTCTACATCCTCACCAATACTTGGTTTTTATCAGTCTTCTTAATTTTAATTACTCTAGTGGGTGTGTAGTGACATCTAATTATGGTTTCAGATCTGCATTTCTCTAATGAGGTTGGATATCTTTTCATGTAATTGTTGGCTGCTTGCATATCTTCTTTTGAAGTGTCTGTTCAAATATTTTGCCCATTTAAAAAATTGGGTTGTATGTCTTGTTAGTTTCAATTGTTTTTAAAAAAGTTAAATTACAGTTGACATTCACTATTATTTTATATTAGTTTCATAGTGGTTAAATATTTATATAATTTACTAAGTGATACTCCGGATAAGTCTAGTACCCACCTGACACCATACATAGTTATTACAATATTATTGACTATATTCCCTATGCTGTACTTTACATCTCCATTGAATTTTATTCTTTTATAAGAATGAGAGACTTAAAAAATTGTTTGATTCAATTCCTTTGTCAACTATAGGTCTTTGAAATATTTTCTCCCAAACTGTAGCTTGCATTTTAATTTTCTTAAGCATTTTTTTGTTGAGCAAAGTTTTTAATTTTGCTGATGTCCAATTAACCAATTTTTTCCTTTTAGCATTTATGCTTTTTTATGTTTTCTAAAAAATGTTTGCTTAACCCAAAGGCAAAAATATTCCTTAAAGTTTTCTTCTAAAAGTTTTATAGTACTTACATTTAGGTCTAAGATCCATTTGAGTTAATTTTGGGGGCTGGTATGAGAAAAAGGTCAAGTTTTACCTTTTTCCATAAAGATATGCAACTTCCTCAGCACATTTATTGAAAAGACTATTCTTTCTCCATTGAGTTACCTTAATACTGTTGTTGAAACTGACCATACACATGTGGGTCTGTTCCTGGACTCTTAATTCTGTCCCACTGATCTATGTTTATCCCTATGCCATACTGTCTTGATTATTAAAACTTGGTAGTATTTTTTTAATTAAATTTTTCAATTGATTTCAGAGAGGAAGGGAGAGGGAGAGAGAGATAGAAATATCAAGAGAGAATCATTGACTGGCTTCCTCTTGCACACCCCACACTGGGCATCGAGCCCGCAACCTGGGCATATGCCCTGACTGATACTTGATAAGTGACCCCCTGGTTTATAGATCAATACTCAACCATTGAGCTATGCTAGCCAGGTGGTAGTAAGTCTTAAAATTAGTAATGTTAAGTCCTCCAACTCTGTTCTTTTACAACATCATTTTGGCTGTTTTAGGTCTTTTGAATTTCCACATACATTTTAGGATTAGCCTGTCAATTTCTATTTAAAAAGGCTGCTGGTGTTTTGATTGAAATTGCCCATTTAAAAAATTTATAGATCAGTTTGGGGAGACTTGCCATCTTAAATGAGTTTTCTAATTCATTAACATGACACATCTAGTTATTTATGTCTTATTTAAATTCTCTCAATAATGTTTTGCCATTTTTAGTGTTAGGTATTTCACATAACTTGTTACATTTTTTTTCTAAGTAGCTTTTTTTGGATGTTATTTTAAATGTACATGTTTTTTAAATGTCATTTTTGGATTTTTTTCATTGTTAGTATATAGAAATACAGTTGATTTCTGCAGTTGAACTTGTGTCCTGCAACCTATTTCATCTCACTTATGAGTTCCAGTAGCTTTCAATTCCTTCCAGTGTAGCCGTGTATAGAAACAGTTACTGACATAGCTCTGGCCTCTCTCTGCTTCTCTCCCCGAAGCCCGCCCCACAAGGCCAGGGCAGGATCAGAATTCCCTGTAGTTTCAAAGGCAGGAGGATTGAGCCAAGGGACCTTCCCTGCCACCATGGCAAGGTTTCATGGTTTTTGTTGCGCTTACACTTTTCTTAAAGGTACAATAAGATTTATCTAGAGATTCTATCTTTTGTTTCTAAATTATAATCTCACGAAACAACTGGGATAAGTATTAAGTTTTAGTAATCAGATCCATCATGACCCAGAGCAGAGAATTAAGTAAATCTCCTCTATAGTGATGGGAACATAATTTTCCTTAAGTACTATTTTTCAAAATAAATTACTGTCTTAGCTTTTGCTTTCCCCCTCCACAATACGCCCACTCTTACACCGAAGATTCTTGCTGTAAAAGTCTAATTCCCTGAGGAAACTGTGCCCTTGGAGCATGCCAAAGACACTCCCCAGAGAAACTGATTTGTGTGGGAACAGAAACAAATAATTAGGTATTTTCATTAGGGATTCAAGGAATCACGACTTTAGCCTTTGCTTCCAGACAAGGCTCTGTCAAGTCATCTGACACAAATTCTCCTTGGAACATCAAGCTGGAGTTACGTAACACTTCACGGTGTTTTTCCTGGTCTTCTTAGTCACTCTGTCTTGCTTTATGTGCTGAGAGGTAAAATGGAGAGAGGAGCCCCTCTTTTTGGGAAGAAGTTTAGATGGAAAGCAAATGTCTTTAGAAGTGAGTTTGTTCTAGTCCCACTGACAATGACATATTTCTTTTGGAAAATTTTAGCGAAAAACATAATAAAGGTGTCTAAGAGGAGTCATACAACAGTATGTACGGTTTGGGCATGGGTGCTGGTATTTGAGTGCCTGGGCTCGGACCCGAGCTGGGGAAACCTGACTGCCGAGCTTCCCTTTTCTCCTTGCTCCACGGGGTGTAACTTC